GGTTGAGGCGAAAGTCTCATCCTTGTCTTCTACAAGTTGAGTGTAACCCCGACCCACTATCCTAGAGCGCACCGTGCCGTCTGGCTTGCGCACCTTAACCCACTTCGTGGAAATTGCAGACTGCAAAGTCTCCTCTGAGACCGACTCAACGGAGACCTGGTCAAACACGTCAAAGTCACGCATCGACTTCATCTCCTTTGTCATGTCTGCAGCTTCCTCTTCACGTGTGAACTCTGTCTGGTACCAGATGTCTCAAGTGTCTTCATCAACAAAGGGTCTTTCTCATCTTGATTCACCGACACCGGTACTTCAAGGTCCTGCTTGGTTGTCACAGCAGCGACACGAAAGTCACACGCGAAAGCGTTTCTTGGTTTTGGCAAAAGTTATGTTGGTTATTCTGTGCACCTTGCTGGACCCAACAGGCAAAGTCTCCGACGTGCGCTTGGTCGGAGAAGAAGCAGGCGCCTCCTCAAGTCCTCAAGTCAAGGCCTTGTAGCCGAAGGTTGCGGCAAAGCTGCTTCAGTTGAGGACCGTGGTTGGCCCTGCGTCTGTCGGTCCAAAGTGACGTGCGGCGGCTCAAAGGTATCATCAATGTCAGGTGGAGTAGCCAAAGACTCCAAGTCCGACAAGTCTTCCCTCGGCGGGATCGCCTCTGGGTCAAAGCCGCTCAAGTCGTCACCAAGCAAGTCTTCAACCTCTTGCAAGTCTCCAGGTGCAAGTGGCTCAGTCGACTCTTGCTGCTCAAAGTTTGAAAGGGCCTTCTGCTGTCGCCTCCTCGGACCGCTTGGCTTGAGGAAAGACAACAGTGTCCGTCTCAGCCTTCGAACCTATGGGGTGCCAAGGACGCGCAGAGATCGACTGCAAAAGTGCAAGGTCCGCTTACCGGGAGAGACTCCGGTAGCGTCAGCAACAAAGTGCTGATCAGACTCAGTGTCCTTTCCAAGCCACACACCAGGCACAAAAGCTGCACGACCCTTCTGCGGATGAGGCCTGCGGAAAAGAGCCGTCTCACCAAAGCGACAGATAAAGCCGGCATACTTCTTACGCCAGCGCCGCTCAAAAGCTGTGGTTCCCTCCGCGTTGCAAAAGTAACGGTTCACAAGCCACTGCGCGTGACGAACCAGCCATGTAAACAAAGCTGAGTGGACCGAAAGGTCCACGTCGTAGCGCTCAAGGATCTCAAGACGCAAAGCCTTGATCTGTCCGTACAAAGTGGCCTGCGTGTTACCCACGCTGCCTTGCGCTTGCTTCCAACCAACGGGAGTCTTGCGGAAAGAAAGTCCACCAACCTCACCAGTCACAGAAGTTGCAATAGCGAGGAGGGCGGGTTCAGGGTCCGCTTGCAACACACCGAAAGTTCTGCCGGTTTCAAGCACAACGCGGCGAAGTTCCGCTTGCGAGTAAGGTGTGTGGGCCTTGGTGGGGATCACAACTGAAAGTGCCATACCCGAAAGAACATCGACGACGTTCAAGATCGTGATCTGCTCCTCACCAGGCTTGTCGCCAAGAAAGCTAATGTCCATCTGCAGCACAGGCTGCTTCAGGGAAAGTCTGCGGCTCTTTGCCTGTTTGCACTTGGCGCGCACACAAACTTCGCACCAAGGTTGAAAAGGCAAGCGCGTCAACTCGTGCTCAAGCCGCTCCGTCAAAGTTGGCTCGCCCGGCTGCTTAAGCCTGCGAGGGCGACGCGCAACATAGTCAGGAGCTTCTGGCTCACACTCAACAAGTTGCAAGTCTGCCTTTTCGAAGCAAGTGGCTCCGACAAAAGGTGAGCTGATCAAAGTAGCGCCGCTCTTTGCGCCAAACGTCAGCGTGCCAAAAGGGCACTTCCTCCGTCTCGGGCCTCACAACCAAAGTCATGCGACCGTTGCCAAGCTGCTCTTCAAAGTGCGGATCTTCAGGCACAACAAAAAGTGTCACGCACCCAGCAAGACGGAAAGTCAAGCCACAAGTCGTGCGTGTACGGCTGGCCTGTTGCCGGGTCCTTCTTTGAAAGTTGTTCAAGCAAAGCCTTCCGAAAGTCGTCAAGCGTTCCTGAAGAAGTCTGCCCAAGACGCAGACGGAAAGTGTCCTCGGTGCTTTGCTCCTTGAGGCCTTTTGTGGGCTGCTTGAAAAGTGGTTGTGGGGCCTCTGCTAAAGGTTCCGGCTGTCGCTGAAGCGGCTGTGGTACTGGCTGGCTTGCAGGAGTGGGTTGAGGTAAAGTTGTCTGTTGTCCAACTAGCTTGCGGCCAGTGGGCTTAGAGGAAAGTTTAAAAACAATCTTGCTTACAAAGCGTTCTGGAGCTGGGCCCTTAGGGTTAGCTACCTTACGCCAGTTGTCGGTGAAAGTCTCTTTTCTGCCATCTGCGTACTCAATTAGGTTACGCGTTCGTCTGAAAGGTCCTTCAAAACTACAGGGCGATCCTTAGTCCCTTCAGGAGAAAAGAAAGTAGCTCTCGCTCTTTTGTGTATACGGGTCAAAGTGTTACCCGAGAGCTCCCATTTGTCAATGTGATACTGTACAACAGGTTTGAAAACTGGTGCAACTACTGTACCTTGGGCGCTTTGTGTGTGAAAAGTGTTACACACAACCTCAAACTCTTCCTTGTTGAACGGTGCCAAAGTGGGCCTCAAGAAAAGAAGTGAACCATGCCTAGTGATGGGCACCTTGTGTCCATCAGGTGTTTCCAAAGTGTTCGCCTTCTCAGAAGAAAGGTACACGTCAAAGCCTGACCTCAAAAGTCTGCCAACAGACACCACACAGTAGGGAACGTCGCAAACGTAAAAGTGTAAGAAACAGGGCAGCCAACCTTCACAAGTCTCCTTCCAAAGACCGTCAAAGGCTGACCCGAAATGCTCCTCAAAGGTGGAGCCTTACCTGTCAGTGGCAGAAGTGGCCACTTGGAGGCAAAGTCCTTCGGGCAACGGTGAGTTGCAGCACCTGAATCAAAGAGGATCCAAGGCTCGGTATCCTCCAAAGTAGAAGCAATCAAATGCTCCTCCAAAGCAACATCCTTGAAAGTCGTATTCAAATTCTGAAGACCAAGATCACCAATACTGAAAAGTCGTTGGTTCTCATCCGTGCGACCATTCAAGGAGAAAGTCTCAAGCGGTGCCATATAGGCTGTAGGCTCAAAGTTTTCACACTCACCGAAACCACCAAAGTTAAAGTCTACAACTCCATTCGTCATCCCATCAACTCTGAAAGTGTTCCCCAAACCAAAGTTGCCGAGAACAGCAGCCGACATGAGCAAAGTGCTCGGGCTGATGCTTGCCTTAGCTTTCGGTTTGGCTTTGGGGGTCGAAAGTCCAGGTGGTTCTTGCAAAGTCACAGCCGACACGGGCAAAGTTGCCGCGCCGCTTGACGAGGAAGCCTCTTCCTTAGGCTTCGCCAAAGTTTCGGCCTTCGCCGACGGAGCAGCCTCTGCAGGCCAAACTTCTGAAGTAAAGTCCGAAGACCAACCCCAAGGGTCAACCGAAGAATCCCAGGACCAAGCATCCCAAGATCAAAGTTGATCATCCCAAGTCTGATCCCAACTGCTAGGGTCGTTGTAAAGTTCGGTTACCGCGTTGATCGCCCAGTCCGTCCAATCGGACCGATCGTCCTCACCAAAGTGAGACCAATCTCCTGTGTCCTCCGACGGGTAAAGTTCTTCACCTTCAACAGCTGAAACACGGTAGTTCGGGCAGTTGCTCGAAAAGTGTCCTGTCTTGCCACGAGTCCAACACACCGAAGTAGAGCTAGACTTTCCTTTTCCTTTCCTTTTCCTTTGCCTTTCATCATAAAGTTCCAATGTTGTCCTGTTTTTCCAGACGACTTCGAAAAGTCCTTTACTTTTCCTTTCTTTCCTTTTCCTTTCCTTCCTTTTCCTTTCCACAAAGCTGCTGCTAAAGCACCAATGTCCATGGGAGCCGAAGCTCCACCAGCAAAAGTTGCATTCGCCGAAGTTTGTGCAACTGGGTTCATCAAAAGTGGTGGTCTGTGGTATTCAAGGATAACCTCACGAACCTGAGCATAAGTAGCCAAAGTCTGGGCATTCAACCTGAGATGTTGTTGTAAAGCTCCCGAGGTCTTATTCAGCAAAGTTGCAACAAGTACACCATCAGGTAAAGGTTGCCCTGCCTGTCCCTCACATTGTGTCTTTATGGTTTCCCACATGTTAAAGTCTTGCTCGAAGGTTGCTGGGTTGAACTTAAAGTCCAACAACTGCGTCAAAAATGACGTGCTCCGCGTGGCTCCTGGCAGCGAGAACTTCTTGTAAAGTCTTCTCCATGTCTCAAAGCCGTTGCTGTCCTCGTTCTGTCGAACAACAAGTTTCGCCGAATCTTTCACAAGTTGCGAAATCAAGTAATGTAGCTTTCGGGAGAAAAGTACTCGGTTGGCAGTCTGTTCCGGATCTACATCACCTGTGTCCAAAGTGAGCGTTAGATCAGCATCTGTAAAGTCACCTTGCGCAGCCGTGCGCATTTCGGCATTATCCATCAAAGTCACAGCACCTACCTCGCACATCGAGATGTACGCTTTAAAGTTCCATGACTATTCTTCCCAGTCTGCTGGATTCCCAGAGAAAGTCTCTGGCAGAGGAAGCCGAAGCTTCCCTGTAAAGTTGTCTTCACCTCCTAGTGCCATGTCGTTCTACCAAAGTTCCTTGGAGCTTTCAGCTCTGCTACCATGCGAAAGTACACTAGTCCAGAATGCGCACCAAACTACCCTAAAGTAATTCCGTGCACAAGCTCACACGAGACCAAAGTAGCCCTGAAGTTCGGAAGCGCCTTTTGTTTGCAAGGGCAAAGTGGTCTTGAGCCTCAATGTGGCATTGTGGCAAAGTCTGGGGGAGAAAGGGGGGGTGTTATTTTCACGCATACAGACAAACAGACATACATACATACACATACACGCTCCTACATACACACATATCTACCTACCTACCTACATACATACACACAGGCAGACAGACGGGACAGACAGACAAACACACACAGGACGAACACGCAGACACGCAGAATACCAACTGGCAGGCCTCGGCCCGTTGCCACTGCAATGCCACTTGACCGGCAGCTGCGCTCCGGGGCACGAAGGATCCTCACATGGCCGGATGCGCGGAAAAGCATGTCAACACCAAAACTCCAAAGCCACAACCCAGACAACGGACCCTAAACTCCAAACTTTCCCTAAAGCCTGAACCCTGAACTTTCTATACCGCCCTAAACTAAACCCTTGACAAGCCTATAAAGCTTAATCCCGCACTCGAAGCGAGAAGGTCTCTCCTTATCTTTTCGGATTTAGAACTGGGAAGAGCTTTGGTTCCGAGATCTTCACGGGATCTTTCAAGTGTCTACTTGGAGGTTCATGGGTACTTATACTGTAAGTAAGGTGAAAAGTCCCCAAATATGGATTCTAAGTATAGTTACCCTAATTATAACCCTACTTGTGACTACCCAGCATCTACCAAAAAGGGGGTTGTCTTAACCAGGTTGCGGTCAAGGTTGCTCTGGGGGTTGAGGGTTTAGGGCTGGGGTTTCAGGGTTCTGGTCTTTGGGATCTTGCTTGTGGTCTTCAAATCTCGTCTGTAGGATCTTGATGATGGCACTTAGCGCTTAGGGTTCGGCTTGAGGCTTGAAGGATATAGGCTTAAGTCGGCTTAAGGCATGAGGGTTCAGGGTTCAGGGTAAGAGTTCAGCTGCGATCTCCGTATGGGAGCCATGTCTGTGCTCTCGAGGGCTAGGATGTACTCAAACCCTAAAGCCTAAACCCCCAAACCCTCAACTCAAAGCTCTCACCCGAAACAGTCAATCCATCACGCTATGCCCCGTTAATGCTGAGCCCTGTGCCCGGTCGCGCTAAACCATATATATATATACATATGACAAATACCTGTGCAAAAGCCTACGACGCTACGCCCTACACCCTAAACCCACAGGTCCCGACATCAGAGCAATGGCAGGCGAGCCGGATCTCGCCTGCGGACCTCTTGCGCCTCCGAGGTTGAAACTTCGGCGGGGTCCCTTTGAGACTTGAAAGGGCTCCTTTAACGGAACCCTCGTAGAACCCTTAAAGGGAGGGTTCAGGGTTTAGGGTTTAGGATTTAGGGTTTCAGGTTTCTTGAAGGAGTTGAGGGTTTAGGGTTGCAGGGCTCCTCAAGGAACCCTCGTCGAATCCTTAAAAGAAGACCCCTTAAAGGAACCGGAGCCCTTAAGAGTTCCTCAGAGTGCCGCCAGGATACACCCTAAACCCTCAAACCCCAAACTGCTAGCGGAACCCGAAAAGGAACCCCCTACAACCCGAAACTGCTAGCATCGCACTGAGAGTAGAACCCTTGAAGATCTAGTACCAGTAGAACCCTTACAAGAGACCCATTCCAGTTCGAAACTGAAACTGGAAGGTGAACCCGGAAAGGAACATCCTCTAAAAACCCGAAACTGCTAGTAGAATCCTCACAGGAACCCCTAAAACAGGAAAGTGCGAGTAGAACCCTCAAAGGAACCCTCTTAAAGGAACACCCTAAAACCCGAACTTGCGCATTAAAGACCTTGGCCATAATCCCCATACCTTCGGAACCTGCAAAAACCACATGCTGAAGCCCTAAACTTAGGGGTTCAGGGTTTAGGCTTTAGGGTTGTGTCACGGTTCAAAAAGCCGCGGCCCAAATCAAAACCATCTGAGTACCGGAGCCCTGAGCTGTGAAGCCCAACGCTCCCACCCGACTTCCTGGTCTACAGCTTTCGCCGCTGTCTTATGCAGGGTTTTGCGTACTGTAAGGTTTTTCTGGTGTGTTTTTTTATACGGTGCTTTGGGTTCAGAGCTTAGGCTGAGAGCTTAGGTAAATCCGCCTGCGATCACGCTTCGCTTGCAGGATTCTGCTTCTTCAGGAACGATTTCGGGTGTCGGTTTAAGGTTTATCATCCCTTTTTGGGGATTCCTGTCATGATGGGTCCTTGAAAGGGTCCGATTAGGGGTTTGGGGTTTAGGGTTTAGCTGCTGCTGCTCTGGCATTTCATGGCATTTCGGGGGTTACCCAGTTAGTATGTCACGTCGAAAGCTCGAAACGCAAGACCCTATGCAGGGCTCCGGGATCACAATTTAGGATTTAGGCTTTCGGGCTTTCGGGCTTTAGTCCCTGGGGCTTCAGGCCTTGCACTGACAGGCATATCCATGGCATCCTATGAGCCTCTTAGATTTTGTGATGACCGAAAAAATGAAAGCCAGGAACCCCCCGTCATGAGACTGCGGCAATCGAAAGTTCGGATCATCTCCTCGTCCTCCTCCTCAACCGTAGTGATGGCAGTGAGGACAACACCTTGTCATCAATGAGAGTTTAGAGTTTGAGGCTTGGGGCTACACACCATGCAGAGACTCCAGCTATGTCGAGTATATCCCTCAGGGAGAGGAAAACTTAGACATGTCGCGGACACATATGCACAAGTACGAAGTACGTCTACATAGACTCAAGCATATACGGCGCATGGCTACTAGGGCTCATGGGGCGCATAGTCTGTAGAGCTCGCTACGTTAACGACGAATATCTACCGACTAGTACCTTCGTTATTGCGGGGACGACTGACAAGAACTCACAACTCGGGAGTTCCAGATTTGGGGCTTGAGTCGGTGTTTTCGGGTTCCGGGTGTAGTAGAAATGGCAATAGCAATTGTAAGTAAAAAACTAGTACTTGTACTGAGTGTAGCAATAGTAATACTAGTGGTTACTAGTGATAACGGTAATGACAGTAAGGATACCAATAATCAAAAACAAGATATTGAAAGTAAAATTACACCCAATATGTCATAAAAACACTAGTAGCAGGTCTAGTCTTCGAGCCTTGGGTCCCACTATCGACGGCATGTCCGGTGCTGCAGTACTACGGTAACGCCCCCCCCCGTTTCGGGCCATGGCCGCTTCCTGTTCTTGGGGTTATGGAACCCTAAAGCCTTACAGAACTTTAAAGACCCTAAAGCCTTACAGAACTTTAAAGCATTGAGGTTCATGACGTTCCTAGTTTCTGGCTTCCGTCCAACATGCTATACCACATTCCCTGAGACTGTGAATCCCAGAGGTTCTATCGAACAACTCATATGACATCCTGTTGGTCCTTCCGCAATCTGGAGAGCTCAGACTCAGTGCCTTAAGAAGAATCCCTCGTCCGGTGCCTCTGTTGAGACCAGGGGTCTTTTCACTGGAAAAGGCCCCTGTGAACCATGGACGGTGTAAGCCTCGGTTCTTAAGCCTCGCATCATAAACTTCTGAATTTCCTGAACCGTAAACCCTAAATTCGTCAAATTCCATAATGAAACCTCTAATAAATTCTCAAAAAAGCCCTCTAAAATCTCACCTCGCGGTTGAGCTCGCAGCTGAGATCAGCCAAGGCGGGGCTCAACGGACGAGGTCCGCACGGCAAAGGGGGCATCCCCCCGATTCTTTCGGTTGTTTTTGGGGGGGGGGTTCGGTTTTTTACGGTTCCAGTTACTGCAGGTTTGCATGTTTAGTGATTAGTGGCTTTGGAGGTCGGCGGAAAAGTCTGGAGTCATGGCCCTACGATTTGACTCGGTGGGGAGTCTGAAGAGCTGAGGCTCAAGATTTCAGACAATCAGCAGTCTTCGGATTCAGGGTGGCGGATTGCAAGTGTACTGTCGCGCTTCACCTGGTGCTGCTGCGGAAGCGGCGCAGACGAAGGTTCGGGAGGTCGAAAATTGGTGCAAAATTCCGGGGACTCACATGAAAGGTATTATTTCGTACTGGTGATGATGAAGATGATGAGGAAGATGGTGATGATGATGGTGATGATGATGACGACGACGGTGATGACGACGACGATGATGGTGATGGTCATGCGGATGGTGATGGTGACGATGAGGAGGATGGGGATGAGGATCGGGACGGGGTTTTGGGTCACTCGGGTGTTCCATGGTGCACCAGACCCTCCTTTGAACGCCCGAGTGCGAAGCAAGTCAGAGGACCGTGTAGCCAGATGCGCCAGGTGGCATCTTGAGGCTGAAAAAAAACTCCGATAAAGTCTGCCCAGTGGCAAAGCTGAAGGTACTGACACTGACACACCCTGGCAAGAAACGCAGTCCGGCTGGGCTCGACAGGCCGGCCATGAATCAAACCCAGAAGGCTCACCTTGACACCACTGCGGGCCACCAGGAGATGGCTCCGTAGGCCGACAGCATCGCCACTGGCAGCTCCATTTTCTCATCAGGCTGCCATGTGTCTATCGTGCTTGGAAGGACCAGCTGGAATCTCCAGAACTATCGGAGGACGTATCGGGGTCGTATGTCACTACCACCTGAAATCGTTCGTGCGTCCAGCTGTCAGGAAGGTCCTGCGGCTGCCTGCTGCTGCTGGCGTCGACGTCATCCGAGTTCATACGAATGAAGCCTTGCGTGCTAGGTGGGAAAAGTTGGCTTGGCTTGCGTTGTTTCACATCTCCAAACCCCCAAAAGCTATGTACTTGCTCCGCGCCCAAGAAGCGATTATGATGAGTGTTATGGAGGGCGATTTCCCCGTTCCCAGCAGGCACCACGGCAAATCTCTCATGGGTCCAGCCGTTCGGCAGGGCATCTGCATTCTTCGTGCTGCTGGCCTCCAGGAACGCAAGGAATGATTTCAAAAGAAACCGCCCAGGTTTAGGGGCTCCTTACAGGCAAGTTCCGCATGCAATAAACAGATCTAGGCTCAGGGTTGCGGAGGGTTGGGGCTTGGGGCTCAAGGTTTCGTTAGGGCGTGGGACTGGACTCTGCTAGAAGTATATTGGACTGCAGAGGAATACCATGAATCCGGTCAGCATAGAAACCCATTCAAGGCAAAGCTAAAGATGCCCCGGCCCTTACTCAGGTTTGCCAGCCTCTACCTCCAAGGTCAAGGTTATATAAGGTTTAGGGTTCAGGGAGATTTTGGATTTTGGGACTGTGGGATCACCCAGCAACGGCTGCAAGGTCGTGTTGAATATTCAAATTCACCTGAGCCTTGTACGAAGGGCCCAAACCTGAAACAAACTTGGATGCGCTTTCAGTCCAAAATCAAAACCCTAAACCTCGACACCTTGCAGCCCGAAAAAGCCAACCAAGCCCCGTACCAAGACCTATGTCAAACCCGTTAAAGCAGTGCAAACAAGGCTGGCCTGCATCTCACCACCGTCCATCTTTACGAAGCGATTCCACTCTGCGCTATGCAGCGCCACCTTTCGACAGAAGCGCCCAATCTCACAAACTCAAACCTCAATCCTGAGCCCTGAACGTTTTACTCTACAGCTAGACACTCTCACGTCACAACCTTCGACCCCAACGCAAGTCAAATCGCCTCACCAAGCCCTGTATCATGAACTCCCCCACAGGCGGGTTCAGGGCACTGGAATGCTCGGTGTGTTGCTGTGCGCACCATGCCTGCTGATGCTTCGCGAGCATCGTATCGTGTTGTTCCAGCATGAAGCTTCTCTTTTGTCTAAATGTCGGAGAATGCATGGCTGCAGCGATTCCTGTCGCATCGTGCATGAGCTCTGCCATTACTGCAAGCCTCAGGCCTTATTCCAAATCTTCAAAGCTAGAAGCCTGGACTATTCAACCCAAGCGTTCGGGAGTCACGCTCGCTGTCACCAGCTGATGAATTGAGGGTCTCAGGGGCCTGGGGCCGTGGGCTCAGGGCTCAAGGGTCTGCATGCTTCTGGTCTTCCTCCTGTTGAGCATCTGATCGTCGCCGTCATCAGCAACACCGAGCCCCAAAGCCCGAAACACCCCACCAGAGCCTGAAACCCAAATCCCGAACCCCAGGGCACAATCATCATCCATCATCGCCCCCGACCACGGCGGCTCATCAACATCGACCTGTCAGATTGTATACAACACCCCCTCCCAAATGCTCTTTGCTACGACCCATGCCAAGTTTCTACATTACAAGATCCCTTCTGACCAACTCTAAACCAGAGAAACGGCCCAAATCCTCACTCCCCGAGACTGTAAGGGCTTGATATCCGAAATCCCTGAACCTCCGAAGCCCTGAAACCCGACAGTGCCTCCCTCAAACGCTCAAACCACAGACCCTTCAAAACCGCAAACCTTCATGGCGCAAAGCACGAAAACGACAAAGACAGCAGAAACTAATATCAAGACTGGAAGGCTAAGAATAAGAGCAAAAGAAAGAGTAAGAATAAGAACACACATAAGGAGAGGAATACAAATGGGAATGCGAACAGGAATAGAAATATGAATACAAATCCGGATAAGAATAAGAATAGGAAAACGATTGGTGCAAGAGGAAGAAGAATTAGCAAAGCACTGAACGTAAGAATGCTAACGGCTATTGCAACAACAACGACAACAACAATAATCAGAATCATTAACGCAGCCAAAATATCAGAATTAAAATTTGACACTCAAAAACAGACAGCCCAAGCCCCCTTCCCTCCCCGCCCCCCGCGGCCCGCGTGCCTGACCGTTCTCGGCATCCACGACCAGGAAGCGTTCCCACCCTTTCGATTCGTTGGCATGGCTGTTCTGTGCTTCAGATTGTAATGCTTTGCTTTCAGAGTTCTTTAAGGTTTCAAGTCTTTCTTGCGGCAAGAAAGCGCCGAGGGATTCTCAGGATTTGGGGGTTTACTAGGGTTGAGGGACTGTTGTTTTGTGTGTTTCGTCATCGTATTAGGTGTCAGTTTTGTTCAATGCTGCTTGCGTTTGCTCTTGTCTGGCTTCTCTCGACCTCCTTGTACTCTAAATTACCGCCGTCAAAACCTCTGGTCTAGAAATTACGGCCCCTGTCTTGTTTGGTCAGTCTAGAGCAGGAATCAAGCGGCTCCATCCGACAGGAAGGTCGTTGGCAGCCTTTTCGCTGCTCCGATCCATGTCAGCCTCACCTGGTTTAGTGTTCCGGGCTTAGGTTTGGGGTTTAGGGTTTCGGAATTAGGTCTTAGGGGTTAGAGAATAGGGAGAAGGGGCCTTACCAGTTAGAATAAGAGCACGATAAGTCTGCAGGGGCGACGGGGAATGTTATCACGAGTTCTGGAGACCTCGAGAACAAAAAAAACTTCATTCCACAATGACTCCTATACTGAAACGGCAGCAAACCATAATGAGGTTTGTGCAAACCACTCCGGGACCGAGTTACTGTTCATGCGCAGGAAGCGGTTCCACTTTGCGTTGTGGAGCGCAACGATGGTGCCTCTCGAGCTCACTCACTGTGCAGCAGCTTGGGATGCTTGGGGACTTGGGATGAAGCTTAGGTAGGGTTTGGGAGTTGGGGTTTAGGCCTTGGTTTAGGGGTTAGGCCGGTTAGGGTCCAAGCTTTAGGGTTGAGGGCCTCACTTCGACGGATCCCTGCCTGGTTTCAGGAAAGGTTGCAACTCCTTCACCCTAAATCGCTCCCAGGTCCATCCGTCACGAATGCCAGCGTCGCTCTGTTCTTCGCTGGCATCGCAGTTGCCGTCGCCCAGTCGGATGTAACCTGGGCTTGCCAAGCCCAGAAGAAAAGGGTCTGGAGAGCCCCTGCGCACGTCTAACCAGGAAGAAACAACTAGAATCCTTATTCATGGCCTTCCTTCCGGAACGAATAGACAAGCACACAAGATCCGAAGAGTGGCCAAGTCATCCCCAAAAGGCCTAAAGCCTAACCCAAATCCAACACCCTGGCCCTAAACGCCACAGCCCAGCCCGTCAAAACCACAACCCTCCAGCGCGACACAAAACACAAGCTCTTCCAAGCCGGAGCAGCGGTTGCGATAAGGGTTGTGGAGCCCGATCTCTCCATCCCCCACGTAGACCACTGTGAAGAGCTCGTTCGTCCAGTGGCTTGGCAGCTCGTTGGCGGCCTTGACGTCGCTGGCCTCACATTTCGGGCAGCTCGAGTTTCTTGGGCCAGGAATTCCAGTTTGCATTTGAGGGTTGAGAGTGCAGGGTGCTGAGGGTTTGGGTTGAGGAGGGCGTTGGCGTTGTCATCCGGGCGTCGAGTTTTGAGGATAGTAGGCTTGCAACATTAGGTTTTGGGTGCAGAGTGTAGCCTGGTGTCGGGTCTAGGTCTGTCAGTTTGGGAGGAGAGAAGGATCAGGTCCTTCAGTGGCAGCACACTTTAGGGTTCAGTTTCTCTTTAGCAGAGGGCATCCTTGATGCTAAACCCTAAAGTCAGAACCCTAAAATCTCAACCCTCAGCCCAAGACCTAACCCGAAGGCCAAACCCTCAAACACCGAAACCTGAACCCTGGGCCCAAAGACCCAAGATCCTACGCCTTAAACCCCGTAAGCCTCCAGATGAAAATTCGACAGGCCACCATCATGTCGCGATTGCCACCCATTTTAACAAAGCGATTGTGCTTGCTGCTGTGCAGGGCGATCTGCCCATTTCCGGCATCCACCTGGCTAGAGCGTGACAGTGCAGAGCTTAGGGGATGAGGGGTCTTGGCGAATTAAGGGCTTTCAGTTCAGGTATCTAAGGCTTCACTACTTTAGGGGTTTAGGAATTTTTGGGTTCAGGGGTTTGTACAGGGCTCATGGGTTCAACGCATTGGCTTCAGGCTCCGAGCCCTTACAGGTTCGTTCGTAGTGTTAGGAAAACTGTCTGCGCAAGCTCAGCAAACTGAATACTGGATTCTACTAGACCAAGCGAGATTAAACGACGACGACCACCACCACCACCACCACCACCTCCACCAACACCTCCACTATTGCTACGATTACGGCGATAACTACGATTACTGCTATTACTACTATTACTACTATTACTACTATTACTATTATTATTACTATTACTACTATTGCTATTGCTACTAATACTACTATCACTACTATTACTGCTGTTATTATTATTACTACTATTACTACTATTATTACTGCTACTACTACTACTACTACAACTACTACTACCACTACGACTACGACTACGACTACGACTACGACTACTACTACTACTACTACTATACCACTACTACTACTACTACTACGACGACTACTACTACTACAACTACTACTACAACTACTACTACTACTACTACTACTACTACTACTACTACTACTACCACTACCACTATTTTTCCATTCCAATCGCAGCCGGTCGCTCAGCTTAGCGTCAGGTACGTGGCAGTGCATTGCCCCCGTGCTTCAAAAGCACTAGAACCACATGGGCAAAGTCCCGCTACGAATAGCTGCAAACTTGCGACCTACTCAACTTGTCAAGAGAATGGTGCACCAGTGCACCCTTCACTCGATCAAAAGAGTGCAAAATCAGGTAAATAGAAAGCGAAGACGAAAAACGTGAAAAAAGTCGTCGAGCTATTGACATCGCTACAGCCATCTGTTATGGCATCTTGCATTGTTGAACATGACTAATGTTTCTCTGTACAAAAGTGTAGTCATAGTCCTGCAAAGTGCAGTGGCCCCAAGAGGGCACATTGAGGACCACGTTCAGCACCCTGTAGTCCTGTGAACTGCAAGTGGCCTTTGGAGGGCACACTGAGAACCGTGTAGTTCAGTACCCAAGGGAGGTCTGGCCGCAGAGCATCGCCAGAACACAGCTTTCTCGCACATACTGACTGTGACCTGGAGGGGCGTAGCCAGAACCCAGACCACATCTCGAAGCATACGTGGGGCCGGGACCCAGTGCGGGCCATCCCATCCCAGGATGGGGTAGGTTGCCGCCACCGGCTTTCGGTCAGCATTCGGGGCAAGGCAGCCATGATCTGCAGCTACACATTCCTCGGGTATCTGAAGGAAACGAAAAGTGCACAGGTACAAAGGTAGCTCTACTGCAAGCTCGCACAAAAGATCTCTTGACACATCGATTCCACTGATGAGTAGGTTCCTGCTTCCCATCTGTGACCTGTACTCCGTTTAGCTTCGGCACTTGAAGTCGTCGCGGATAGGCAAGGAAGTTGCCTTCCCCAGCTCCAACGGAGAGCTGACAATGTAGCAATATAAGTAGAGTCGTCAGTCGGCATCCCACCCCGGACTTGGGACCGGGCCGGCTATCTATGAGGAGGTGTGGCGCTGTGCTCTCAATGGGGCGGCCGGACGGCGCGCGCCCAGGAGGAATGCGGGTGGCATCCACGTCATGCTTTCGCCAGCTGCAGGAAAAGTTGCGCCAACTCATGGCTGCTGGTAGACACGCACGTGCAACGGGCCCAGCACCCAGTGCCCACAGACAGTGGCACGAAGGCAGAGGTAGCCTTTCTCCGGTCACAGGAGTCCGTGCTGGTACGGCAGGCAGGCACAAAGACTGACGCGTTGGCAGGCCAGGGGCAAAAGCATTCAGTCGACCCATGCGCCCTTTGTTGGGGCCAAGAGGCACCCAGCTGGCGAGCGTCAACAGTAGCGCTAGCGCGGCTCGCTGCACTAGGAATGTGATCATCACGTTTCGGAGCCGGACTCCACTGCAAGGTTTGCTCCATGGCATAGATGCCACCACCTCCACAACTATGAGTCCCGCTGCTGGGACACAGCTGAGCCGGAGTGCTTTCCACTACCACTACGACTCGACTACGCGACTACGACTCGATTACGACTGGGACTATGACTACTGCTACTCCTGCTGCTGCTGCTGCTACTACTACCACTACTACTACGACGACGACTGCTACCACTACTCCAACTACGACTGATACAGCCGCTGTTGGTAAGACGGCTTCTGCCCGTTCCAGTCAATAGTAGAAAAAATACCGAGAATCACGCGCTGGAAACACAAACACTCTGTTGACAACGGCCGACTTAAGCAATGATGCTGCAATGTTTGCGACAGGCATGACAGTCGCTGCATCACCAAAGACTCGTGATGCTCGTTGAAGTCGCCCCTCCGCTTGCCAAAATCAGCACTGTTCGCGGAACAAGGTGCCTTGTGTACTAAAGGGTCTAGCCGACGCTTGAAGCTGCACCACCGGATCTCCCTCCAACAACCTCCAAAGAACTCGAGCCCCCTTATAAAGCGCGCATATGGCTGTACCACAACATGAAGTTGTTAGAGTAACTCTTTGCTGTCCAAAAAACTCAACACGCTAGTCACACCTCAAAGGGTTTCCTAGAGAAGAAGTCTGGGGCCGCCGCCACCGTGAAGCGCTCCCACTCCCAGCCCGAGGGAAACTCGTCGAAGTCCTTGGTGCTGCTGCCATCCATATCGGCCTTCACATCTCTGAAGCTAGGCTTTTGGGGTTGAGGGCATTTGAAGGCCGGGTGTCGGGCGGTGTATAGGATCTCTAGGACTTTGGGATCCGACATCTGCGCGGCATCACGAAGCATCTCTAACGCCCCGCATGGGTGCGGCGGGAGTTTCGTTTTGTAAACGGGTTGGAGACGAGTTTCGGCATTCGGAGGCCCGGCGGCCGAAGCGGCTTTAGGTTGGGGGCGAAACGAGAGAACCCGGGAGCAGCGGCAACAGTGTCAAAGGTCGCCAAAGGAGTAGGGAAGCGAGTTCTGGATGAGCCCGACATCGTTACGAATGACGTGAGCAAGTGGCCACATGCACCGAGGGATGCCGACACACGCTGAGCATTCGTTTCAAGAATGAATGCACGCTTGCATGCATGCACACATGCACACATGCAGGCATGCAGGCATGCAGGCATGCACGCATGCAGGCATGGATGCATGGATGCATGCACGGATGGATGCATGGACGGATGGATGCATGGATGGATGGATGGATCGATGAAGGAAGGTTGCAGCACACGTGCGTTGCAAACACAGTCCCGTGAGTATGTGAAAGCTGGATGCGCGCTCAGCATTATCAATAGGTCCAGAAAGCGGGTACGGACATAGCAAGAGAGAGTTCTCTGCCTTTTCCTAGGGAAAGAGCAAGCCCCAGAATCCCTGCCCGTGTGCCTCGAAGCTCTCGGCTGACTCAAACAGGCGTACTCTCTGTTTCTGAAGATTTTTGGTTTTCGGCCCTGAGAGTGTACGATTTAGGATTTCGGCTTGGAGGCTTGGAGTTGAAGCTTAGAAGCTTAGAGTAAAGAAAACAACAAGTTGTGGGGTGTGGGAATCGCCTCATCGTTCATGCGGAGATATCGCCTCCACTTGGCATTGTACCTCGGAGCACTATAAGAAGTGTTGGTGGCTCCCTCAGGGTTTCTTTTAGAACAACTCTTCGCAAAAACGACCCTGCAGTTTTTGGGTCTAATGCGAACCCTGAAGTCTAACCGTCAAGCCTGAATCCTACGGTTTAGGTTCTCGGGCTTAGGGATTCGCGTAGAAGAGCTAGGCGCTTGAACCTGAAAGGCCAACAGCTCCAAGCCCAAAGAGCGCAAAACCCGTCCAAGAAGGCTCAGGCACAAGGCGATGGTGCTGCCGGGGCGGAGTGACGGAGGTGGAACGGCTTTCCATGCCTTATCTAAGATAACACAACATGGTCTACGATAATATAGTCATGCTACAACGTAGTATAGCAACATATGATATATATATATATATATATATATATATTATAAATACAGCGTGATGCAGTACAGCATCAGCACAAGGACAACATGCAGTTGTGGGCATCCTCATGCTGATCTCCCTGCCGCCTGCCCCACATCGTCACCAGTGAAGCCTTGAAGAGCGAGGATGGCCTTCGCCTGCTTTGTCAACAATGGTTTTGTATTTCTTCTAAGTGCAATGGTTTAGGGCTTCGGGTTTAGGGCTAGTGTTTAGGGAATGTAGGCAGGGCTCAGGATTGAGGGTTCAGGGCCCACGGATGTGATGGTTAAGGGTTTGAGCATTTTCAGGGCGACGGCACCCTTTGGGTGTCTTCGGGATCTGGAGGGTGTGGAGCTTCTCTGAGAGCCTTATCAGCCATGGTCTAAATTCCTATCATCCCAAGTAGTCCCTATAGAATCCCCTCTATGGCCCCTTTTCCGGAGCTTAGACCATAGCTCTCATAGTTTGCCGAGGTGGGAATGAAAAGCACACCGGTCGCCTGAAGGCGTTCAACCTTCCAAGCTGTGGGTTTGCCCGGTCTAGGCCGTAGCTAGGGGGATGCTGATTCGAGGGGCAGCCTGAAGAACAGCCCTAGACCTGAAACCACTAAGCCACTAAGCCCTCTCTGCAAATACTCCAAATCCTGAACCCTGAGCCCTTACACACAAGAACGCCCACCTTGGTTTCTGCCGACACGAAAGGCATGGCCGTCAGTACGAGCGAAAACCTTGCTGAAGCGAGTGTTGCGTTTCGGGTTTGCTGTTCAGGATCTGGTGCTCGGCGTGCTCGGGGCTTAGGGTTTCAGATTTGCGGGTCAGGGTTTAGAGCTCTGGTCCAGTGGTTCAGCCTCCGGGTTAGTTTAAGGTTTCACAACCGGCGTGTTGCGCTACGGTCTTCCCTAGTCCTCTGAGCGCCCGCGCACTGTGCGCGGGGCTGAATGAAGACCGAAGCTCCGTGCCTTGCGCCTTTGGGACTGAGTACTTCGATAGCCGGGAGGAAGTCCTCGACAGCCCCGAGGACACCAGACAAGCCCACAAATTCTGTAAAGCAAATAACAGTCACGCGAGTACAATATCAATAGCACCCAGTGCTAAGAAGGAGAAGAAGTAGAATGACAATGGCAATTATAACGACTGAGCGACTGGTCCACGATGTCTAGCAGGCGGATTCTCTTCTCTGGCGACGAGAAGGGGCCCATATTCACCTTCGGAGGGTGTATTGTTGTCATGTCTTCTTCGCATCACTGGCAGTATGTCGAGCTTCGGTGAGTGTCACTGCTGGAAGTCACATGGCCTGTCTCTTGTTGTGTGAGGCCCCAGGCTTTCATTTTGCGGTGAACTCGGGGGTTGCAGATGGATGTCTGATGTGCGGGGGGATTGTGCCTGGTTCTTTGGGGGCTTTTCGTTTCGTCTGGCGTATTTGCATCTCCAAGTCTTCCAATGCTTCCAGCGCAGAACTGCCAGCACTTTCTCCCCTCAACCAAGCCCGGGGAACCTCAGATGAAGCTCAGCTTTGAACTCCCCACACTTTACAGCAATCTGCATCTGTTGCTCTACAGCTTCTGACCCAACCGAACCCTGCACCCTAAGCCGAGACCGTCAACCCAAAACCCCTGACCCTCAGCCCTCGAACTGATCTAATCTTAAAACACCATCCAAGCCAAGCGTCCCTGAAAAAGCTCCAACAAAAGAAACCACACATACACACGCACACACAAGCACACGTAAACCCGTGAGAAAATCTTCAAAACTTGGTGCCTTCATTCCCAACTCCAGCTTGTTGTTCTCCAGAAGGCCCTGAATTTCAAAGTTCACCGTTCCGGGATTCCTGGGGGCGGAGGCAGTTCGGGGTCTTTGACTTCGGGCTTTCATGGCAGCTCTATGGTGCTGGGGTTCCGTATGGGGCTTGGGGTTTGGAATATATGAAGATGATGCATCAAGGACGCATCATACTACCCGAACATTGATCCCCAAAGTTACAAACCCTACAACAGTCTGCCGAATCAGCAATATGGAGCCCGCACAAGTAGCAGTAACATCCGCAAGTAGTCTCCATGCAACAGCGGTATACCCCGAACTCTACTTTGATCAATAAAGCCCGTATCCCAGACCTTTAGATCTGAAATCCAAAAAACTCTCAACCTTGAACCTTCACTCCCAAAACCCTCGAAGCCATCACCAACATCCAAAACCTTAAACCCACAACCCTAAACCCAAAACCCTGAAGCCCAACCTGAAGCCTATGAGCCTCTGGGCCTTATCCAAGAAGATCGAAGCTACGAAATCCAAGGAAGCCCTTCTCTTGGTGACAAAAAACCGAGCCGCTTGAAGCTGAAAAGCTGGAAGTAGTCCGATGAGGCAGCCTGGACAGCAGGGTAGTTTCGGGTTCACGGTTCAGGGTCTAGGGATTTCAGGGCCTGGATCCAGGGATTAAGGCTAGTTATGGGGTCTGAGGCTAAGGCTTTGTGCTCGGGGTGGTGATGGAAAGTGCGAGAACTTGCTCTGCAGAGAAGAGACTGGAGCTGTTCAGAGCAGCAGTGCACAGACTAATACCCCGCGTCCGAGGCCAATTGAAGCTTGAATTCGCATGGGCATCATAAGGCTGATTACAGGGCTGAAAGGTCAGAAGATGTCTCGAGAATATGCTACTCTTTCCTGCCATGCAGAGTTGTGGGTTGAGGTCGCTTGTTGGAGCTCGGTGTCTTTCTCTAGGGCTTAGGGCTGCTCTGGCAAGGGTTGTGGAGTTGGAGTCGTCACTGACCCGAAGAATACCTGAACTCTAGGCTCTAGGCCCCAAAGATCATGAAAACTCTGAGCTCCACCTCAAACCAAGATCTGCAGGCCTCTAAACCCTGCACCCTTAACCCAAAACCCTTCTTGAAGCTTGATAAGAGCCATACTAAAACTCTTAATTCGATTTTCTCGAAACCCCGAAGGAGTTGCATCACTACAGTTGTCTCGATTTCGTTCGACTCGCTGAAAACAATGAGCATCAAGAACAATACGCCTCCATTCACCCTCTGGCAATGGTGTAACGATGGAAACCTGCTCACAGGAACCCAAGACTGCTCAAAGCACAACTCCCACCAAAACAAACCCCTAAACCCTGAGAAACCTCGAAAGGCCCACAACCCCAGATCGGATCCTAAACCCTAAACTCTAAACCCCAACCCTTCGACCCTCGAAGGAACCTAGGTCGCTGGCCTTCTGCTGCAATGTGCTGAAGGCTTCTTGCCCGCGCCGTTCTGAAGTCTTCTTGATACCCAGGTCCTGGAAGGAGCTGACGGAGTTGGAGAAAGAGGCTGGAATATTCGGATTGGATGTTGGTGTACATAATGCCATAATTAGCCATAACAAGGCACCCTAAGAGCATTGTTGAAAGCTCAGGTTACTCAGTTAGTATGCCGACCCTAATCTACTTACTTTGTCAACAGAGCTTGTAAGGGCGTCCACTGCAACTAAGCTTTCATCTTAACCACGTTTGATTTGCACCTAAATCGTAAACTCCACACCCAAGAAAAGAGGGAGATGGGAGGACTCCGTTTGGTTGTCGAATTGAGCATTTGAGGCCATTTGAAAGAGCTGCCCCTAACTCTAGCGACCGCAGCGCATCCAGGCACCCCTGCCCCGCGGCCCTGAATTGTGGGCGCTGTGTCCTGGCCGTAGTCGATGGTCGCCAGGTGGAATTCCTCCATGTCCGTCTCCCAAACCAACGAGCTCTGGGGTGCCTCTTGCAGTCTACGATTTGAGCAAACTTGGGGTCTCTTCGGGGAAGACAAGAGAGAGGACAATAATCATGGGAGGGCTGAGGGTTGCGAGAATGGCCTCAGCACGGTGGATCCGCTTCCTTCGCGCCTTTGTGAGTTTTGAACAGACATCACCACCGTCAACATTCGGCAAACCCAATAAAACTCGAAGCACGAAGGACAAGGACCCTCCAATCTGAAGAATCACCACACAACTTCGTAAACCCCACGTCTTGCAAGCGAGACACGCTAAACCTCAAACACTGGCCTCCTCCAAATCACAAACCAAACCCAAAATTATGCAGTGCGAACTTGTGGAAGATCTAGGGAAACCTAAACCCCCAAACTCTAAAATTACAATACCCCGCATAATTAGACACCTTTCTAATGCAAATGTTTACCCCCGCTTTATCGTGATGAATGTCGTCAGCAACCCTGATCGGAAAGCCTTGCAGCAACCCTGAAACCCCTTGGGCCTCTGCATCAGAGGCATTGGCCTTGGCCTTCTCGGTGCGGTTGGACTGCAAGAAGCTGGAGGTCCTCCGGCTGCTTTGCAGCATGGGGCGGGGCTCCCTCGCGAAACCCGTACAAAGCTCCGTAAAACCCTACATTCGCGATATGAACTAGGTGGGGCTTTTAAAGCCTTTGAAAAATATTAGTAAATAAGATCCTCTTAAGCCCAATAAGGGAAAATATAAAATGTCCCAAAGCCCTACCTAGTGAATATTAAATCCGCCCACAGAGAGCCCTCCCAGATCGAACCCTGCTCTGCTTCCGTTTACTCCCCTGGGCGCCGTCCTGTCCATCGGCTCCAAGGTTCGATCATCCTCAACCGAATGCCTGGCAAATACTGTTGATGGACAAAATCCTGCATGACCCTACAGACTCTAAACTATTGGAACTATGGTATATTCCTTATAATGGGTAATGCAGGAGTTTGTCCATCAGCAGTATGGGTGTGGTGTGGTTTGGGTTTTTGGGGGTTTGGGGGGTTTAGGGTTTGGGATGACAGGCTTTACGGGGCTTGGTGGTTCAAGGTTTCGGAAATTCAGCCCCTCACCCCACCCACCTGCCACCCCAAAAAGCAGGATCAAACAGCTGGTGATGCCAATAGCAATCGTTGCCCATGAGAATTTGATAAGAATGGTAATTAGTAATACTGAACCCTAAACCCTACACCCCCTAAACCCCAACTCCTAAACCTCAAAGCCAACTTAAACACGGCTTCCCGCATAACGAACGCAGTTGCAAATTGCAAATTGCGGGAGCAAGGTTTCAGGAAAAGATTCTTGAAACTATTCTACATACATGTATCCAGAAGTTTTGCTGAGTTCCACTGTGCTCTCTTGGCTATCTCCTGCGGATGGTGCTAGTAGGATGATGATTGTTGCCATAGAAATGGCTGATAAGCACATCACCGCATACCAAGACGAGCAAGACTGTATAGTCGTCATGGCTGTGGTAGGCTGGGCTGTGGTAGGCTGGGCTGGGGAAAGCCTAAAGCCTTAAACATTATGAAGCCCTATATACCTGTACCGGTAATGAAAGGCCTTGCCCGCTTCAGAACAATTACGCTCCGACCGTAGCCCGATAAACCCTCGATTACTGTAGCAAAAAGAAAGAAAGGCCGAGCTATCTCAAACATCGCCCAATACGTCCCTGAACACATTGCCAAAAGGAAGTTGTCTAATTTCATGTGGTGTGACTTCCAGACTTGGCAAGCCGAGGCTTCTTTAGTTTGTAGTTTATGGTGCGGTTGTAGCATAAATCTCGGAATAGTAGTAAAATTCATTGCTAAACTGATCTTGGCTCTTCAACATTTATCGTTTCAAGCATTCGCCGCACTCTCTTCTTCATCTTTTGAAGGGGCGCTTCAATCCAACGCTTGCGGGGTTGGGCTTTTCATCTAAGACTTTTGTATGTCTACAATCATCATTGGTGCAACTCACTCAGTCCAGTTATTTCGAAATGATGGTTACTCAGTTTGTTGTCCTCGTAAATCTGGTTTTCTACTTCGCTGATATCTGTCATAACATGCTCCAAAACTTTTTGGTCAAATACCTTTCATACACTTGTCGTAACTTTCGTAACTAAGCTGCTGCAAAATTACAACAACTTCTTCCTGTCTCAAATCGTATATCTTGTTGTTGTACTCCATTCGGGTCTTCTATAAGCATTCAGATGTGAGTGCCCCTCCAGTGCTCACAATAATGTAAGAAGAGAATGTGTCCTTGAGCGCTTTGTCTTTGGAAGCCTTTCGTAATCTAATTCCCGGAACTCATTCCTTCGCTTTGAGCCTATCCTTCTTACCCCAGACATGGCGCGTCTCGACCCTAGCGCCCTGCGAAACCTGAAAACCCTACAAGCCCTGTGCCAAGGCCCTGGCGAACCAACGTAATTAGTTGTGTGAGCCGCAACAGGCTCACACATTCAAACGGCAGGGCCCTGGGCCTAAAGCCTGTTCTAGCTTCACACGCCTGAAGTCAGCCCTAAGCCCCAAATGTACTCGAAGCTGCTGGCCCACGGCGATACCGATGGGGTTGCGCCAGGTCTCGTGCGCCCCGAACCTTGAAGCAAAACTCAAGGCAACTACAAGACCTAAACACCCTTGCCCCCTTGCCCGAGTCCTACACCCGGCTGGCCGATGGCCTTGAGCACCATAACCTGTAACTTAGAATCCGAAACCCTGAAATCCCGGCAGCCCGAACAGCTGTTGGCTGAAAGCCAGGACGGACCCCAAGCATTCAAGGCCAAAGTCCATAATCCCGATGAGCTCCGACGACTCTTGGAATGGATGAGGGCTTCGTGTGAAAGTTAAGGGGTCTGGAGTTGGCCGGTCACTGGTCCAAGGTTCAAAGAGCTTCGGGTTTGAGGTGTCGGGTCTCGAGTTTCGGACTTTGTCGTCTTTTGCGTATGAACTTGGGGCGTAGTACTTCGAATTCAAGCTGTCCCGCTAGAGCTCAAATCAAAACCCATGGCTGAACTCTAGCAAGTCACGTGTTCGAGTTCGTGAAGTCAGTGCTTCCACCGAAGCGCTTAGTCAGGCGCAGGGTCCTGCCATATGATTAGTGACCCAGAGCCTAAACGCCGTACAGGGGCCCCAAGACCTATAATAAAGTGTAGGGGTATGCGGTATACTATACTAGCTTTTTGAAGTTAATGCTGCCGGAAGGAACGACGGGCGAGGCCTTCTGAGATCTAGGGTTCGGCAGTTTAGTGTTCAGGCTTCAAGTCTTCAGGGATTGGGTTGGCGTAGGTGACGTCACAAGCTTGTAGCAACAGGACACGGCATGAAACGAGAAATGTCCGCAGAAATTAAGGCCTCATCAATCTTTTAAAAAAGGTCCGAACAAGGTAAGCATCTCGTAGAAAGCCTCATACGACCCTACAAGCCGGGTCACTATAAGCCTCAAACAGTAATCCCCCAGACTCCAAGACTCTCAAGCCCCAAAGCCCTTGTCCTGCTGAAAAGGAGAATGCCCCCGGAGCGAATCTCCGTGCGCAGCACGCTCAGATCCACTCCCCCCGGCTGCTTGTCGGGCCTGGGCTTCGGAAAATCCGCCAGGAAGTTGGCTGAAGAGTCTTGTTTGAGCTATATAGGCTACAATCTCAACTCCTAGTATCATAACCTATTTGAGCTATGATCTAAACTCCTAGTATCACAAACCTTATCGTAGTCCCCTATTATCCCCAACTATAACCCCCCCCTCGAATGAGTTTAGAATAGAAAACCCCCGAAACGAGTCCGATTCCCGAGAGTAGACTTGGGGTTCTGAAAACACCCCCCGAAGTACGAGTCCGATTCCTTTTTGGTTCCCCCTAACCCCCTCTCATTCGTTTAGAGTAGACTACTGGGGTTCTGAACCCCCCCCCCCCCTTATAGAACCCTTATAGATCCCTTAAGGGAGCCCTTGTAAGGAAGCCTAGTTACTAAGTCCCATGAGCCCCGGTTCCCTCTTGGGGCCCGGGCCAGCAAACCGTGGTGTCCAGGGAGGCCAAAGGCGCTGGCATCAGATCGAACTCCAAGCCTCCGACCTTACTTTTTTCTTGGTTTTACAGGGTCTTAAGGGTGTTAGACGACCTTACTTGGGCAAAGCGCATTTTTCTGGCTTTAGAAAGGTCTATAGCTAGGATTGCCTCCGACCTTAAGAAGGGGGCAAAGCATTTTACCAGGCTTTTAGGGCTCAGGGTAGAGGGTTTGTAGCATTTTCAAGCTTTAGAGGGGTCTATAGGGGTGTTGGAGGGGTTTTGGGGGTGTTGACCTTAGTTGGGCAAAGCATTTTTTCTGGCTTTAGAGGGGTTTAGGGGTGATAGAGGGTTTTTTTTGGGGGTGTTTGGCTTCGGGGTTTTTGTATTGTATTCATTTTTTAGGGGTTGAGGGTTCACGGCATCGGGAGTTGGTGTTTGGGGGTTAAGATCTAGGGGTCTTGGGATAAGGACTTGAAGGCCGAAGCCCTCTCCGGACTGCAGGCGACCCCCGCATCGAGCTGAAGATCTGCACCAAAACAGAAGCCTGAATGCGGAACTCCAAATCCCCAAACCGAAAACGCTGCCCTGAAAATTTCACCAGAACCCCAGCACCATCACCGCCCCCCCCCCCCCATATATTCTGATTCACAAAAAATAAACCTCAAAAACTGAGTCCTAGGCCCTAAAGCATCAAACTATGTACTGCAAGCCCTCAAACACCTGCCTCTAAAATCTTGGCCGCCCTGGCCAAGGCCCGCGCGAAAGAGAGCACCGGTTGCATGGACAGCGAAAAGCTCACAGTCACGCACTTCCTCAGGATTCAAGGGCTTCGGGGCTAAGGCATGTTCGAGGCTTTCAGGGTCTAGGCTTGGGGGTTGGAGGCTCTGTGTGCGCGTGTAGGTTTTCGAGCTTTTGGGCTTCAGGGGTTTTTTCAGGGTATAGGGCCATGAAAGGTTTTGCGGCCCTGAGGGTCCTTGGGACATGTAGCTCTGAAGGCTGTAGGACCTTGGACTTTAAGATTTTGGAGCGGTGAAGCTTTTTGGGTTTTGGGCTCACAGCTTCCCGTAGCAAGTCAGGCGTCGCTTCTACGGAAGCAGTTGGGATGAGGGTTGGGTCTTATAGGGCTATATGGCATTTGGGACGATTCCGTTGGAACACGTCGAATTTTTTCTCCAGGACTTAGGGTGCAGGGCTTGAAGCTTCGGGCTTGCTGGTTCAAAGGTCTACCTTCTCCGTGGCCTCAACCCGAAACCCCTGTTCCCTTGGGTTTCCGATTTTGACCGCAGAATCAAGCTCCCGAAACCCTGTGCCTAAGTATAGTGACCATGGTGGGATACCGTTTATGTAATATGCATGCAAAGAACACAAAAACACACACGTGCAGATATAATGTGTGTATTTATTTACATAGTCATATACATGTGTGTATATAGAAAAATATATTCACAGACAGTATGTGGGAATTTCCTACTAACCACCGGCTCGCAAAGCATCTCAATGGACATCTCCCAGGTGTAGAAGGAGTACCCTTGCCACTGGTTCCAGTGGTCCTTCAGTTGTGGCGGTTTAGGTTTTAGGGATTAGCTTACGGAATCTGTGGCGTTTTTGGAAATCAAAGGTCGCTCGTTGTCAACCTGATAGGCTGAATGCTCTTGCTCTAATTCCTCTTGCCTTCTCTGACATCGTCGTGACACGTTTTGATCGTCTTGTTGCAAAGACCTGGGGGATCGATACGCCATCACTGCTATGGCTGCTGCGTTCGGCAACTGTGCTTGCTGCCGTCTTTCATGGCACTACGATGTGATCTGCTACATCATGCGAAACTGTTTCGCTTCTGAGGTCCTTCATCCACGAATTGTCACAGGGCACCGCCCACGGCTCGAGCTGGATGAAATCACCCTCGTTGTCGACCTGCCAATCCGCCTTCGTTGCCTGGCAAGGCGAAAAAAGTTTCAGAACACCTGCAAACCTTGATCCGGGTAGTGGGCACCTTGTGCGTGTCTGCTGCCAGTCCGGAACTCCACCAACGTCTTGCTTCTATGAGACTGTTTCTAGTCTCTCTTTTCCATTCTTTCCTCGACGTCTTTAAGCAGAAAACTCGCAGTCGCAGCTACTCATAGTTGTGCTGCTAGCATCCTTTCCTGGCGGCTTTTCTTACCTGTGCCATTTAGGACTAGTCATTAAATCTTCGGATGCCAGAAATCGAGACCGGTGTGATTCTGGTCTGAAGCCCTAGAACCCAAATCCAAAAAACCCTCAACCTGTCTCAACCCTACGTTCCCACATCTGAAGCTCTAAACTCCCCTACTATTCGGCTGCCTGGTTCCCGCTTCCATGCTTGTTCTTCGGAGCGAAAGCCAGGCACGAGCTGGTGTCCGTCTCTTTGCCTTGGCTAAGAGAGGCAAGGCTTGATGCTCAGGAGCTCAGGGCTTTGTGGAAGGTAGGTAAGGCGTTGGGGCTTAAGGGTTCAGAGGTTTAGGGGCCCTTTGGGTTTGGGGCTGGGTGTTTCGAGCTACAGCAAAAGATTTTACAACCTGCACCGAAGCGAGAACACTCCAACATTGGACCAGGTTTCCGTCGAACTGCGTGATCAGCTTCGTCACGTAGTTTCCCTCCTCGGTGCGGGGACGTGTACGGCACCGGGAGCTGGTCCAAAACTGTGAAGTTGCAACCTCAACCTAAACTGTTAACCCTACACCAAACATCCGACGCCCCGAACGTCCCAGCAAGCCCAAGCGTCAAGCCGGTTCCTCTGTCTAAAGCTAGACCATTCGCAGGGCGATAGAAGCTCTGGGTTCTGGAGAGGATGGGTTCGGGAAGTTACTGAGCTTATACCAGACACTGCACAAGCCGAAAAGGGACCAAGAGTTGTGTTCTCAAGACCATCCAACACCGGCCCTACATGTGAAACCCAAAAGGCCAAACAAATGTCGCATTGCTCTGGATCCCGACCGAATCAAAATCCTACAGACGGTCCCTACATGCTTGATATATATATATATATATATATATATATATATATATTTCGAAAAGTCTTCAATCCCGAAGCCCTAAACCTCTACCTAACCGCCACCCCCACCCCAAACCCCCACGACCCCGAAACGCTCTCACTCCTGGTCGTGTACCGCGAAGTTGATGACACCCGTCACGCCGCCGCCATCGTCGTCATCACCCTGTGCCTGCACCTGGCAGAAGGATTTCAAATAAGGGTTTGGAGCGTGGTAAAGGCTGCGCTTAGAGGGTGGAGGTTTTGTAGCTGGGTTGCGAGAGGTTTAGCGTTTCTGTCGATGGACAGCATCCTGCATTACCCTGAGTCACCCACAAAGCAATCGTCCTCATCAGGAAGTCTTTAAATGTCCAGCAGGCATGCCTGAATGGGAACATAAAGACCCTCAACAGCAATTTCTCTGAATCCCGAATGTCTAGGTGGCCTGCATCGCAGACATCTCATGGCGCGGCAGCTTGGATCGTGTCCGCTTCTTCGGATGCTGCGAGTGGGTCTTGATCACGAGGTTCCTGCCTCGATTCTCCGGGCTTAGGGTGTTAATGTGCTTTGCTTTTTGGAAGGTGGAATTTAGGTCTTATTGGTTCTCTGGGCTCTTGTGAAGGAGGTTGCTTGAAGTTGCCATCACAAGCAGAACACATCTTGTTTGCCACTTAGGGCTATCATGGTTAATCAGGTCTCCGCATGCGAGGCTGAGACATGTGGTCTTGCAACCCAAGCTGACAATGCCGCCGCTGGCAACCCAATGAATCTGTTCACACTCTATGTGACTTAGCCCGCTCCTTTTCCTTACTCTTTCGGCCCCTACATGCTGAGACCGATACATTTACAAACTGTCTGGCTCCGTAAAATACGTGCGCTACATGCAAAGCTGGAATCTCGGACAACATGACTAGGTGAAGCTTGCCGGCGCACTTCCAATCGCTTTGCTCGCACATGGTCTATGGTGGGCTTTGGGATCTGTCGGCAATTTATCTCGGTGTTCGTCATTATGTCTCTGAAACCTCAAGGACACACCGTTCAACGAATACGGGCGTCGCTCATGGCCGTTTGTGAATCGCTGGATGCTTCAAGCTACAACCATCGCCAAAACTATATAGACAGATACAAACCTAGCTAGCTGGTTAGCCAGATAGCTAGTTAGCTAATTCGTCAAGTCAGTCACTCAGTCAGTCTGTCAGTCAGTCAGCTAGCCAGCCAGCCAGCCAGGCAGTCAGTTAGTTAGCTGGTTCGCTACTTGGTGAGTCAGTGCTACTTAGCTAGTCAGTTAGTTAGTTAGTAGTGAGTTAGTGAGTTAGTGAGTCAGCTAGGTAGTTGGTTAATGAGTTCGTTCATTGGTTATTTAGTGAGAAAGCGCCTTAGTGACTTAGTTAGCGAATTAGCTAGCACATCTGTCAGTTAGTCGGCTATCCAGCCCCTCAATGTCAGTAAGTCAATAATGTGAGTAACCTTAGCAATGTCATATCAAGTCATGTCATGTCAGCCAATGAGCCAGTGAGTCAGTACGTCAGTCAGTCAGCTAGTCAATTGGCCAGCTGGTCAGTTAGTCCGCGCCAGTCAGTTTGTCAGCCCGTCATTTAGTTGGCTAGTCAACTAACTAGTTTTGATTGGTTAGTTGGTTGCTTGGTTGGCTGGCTGGCCAGTTAGATATCTACGGTAGGCAAGTAAGGAGCTAGCGGTTGCGCTAATGCTAGCTCCTGTGCTCGGTAGTGGTGGTGGTAGGGGTGGCGGTTGCATAATCGTGATCGTAGTCGCCATTGTAGTCGTAGTCGCAGTCGTAGTCACAGCAGCGGGAGGGGAAGGCGTAGGAGAAGAAGTAGGAGTAGCTAACAGTAGGAGCAGCAGCAACCGACATCTAGTACAAGCACAAGTCTTCGCAGTGGCAGCGGGATGGCAGCAACGGGCGAAAAGTCGTGGAAGCCCAGGTGCCAGAGTGGTGTATCACCGGCGCATCCCCAGCGGCAGGAAACTTGGACTGCGAGGCCTGGATGAAAGGCGTGCGGTGTACGTTTACGCTTTGGGGTCTAGGCTTTCGGGTTTGGGGCTCCAGGTTGCGATGTTGTGAGTTGCAGATGGCCGGTTTGGATCAAGTCGGAGCTGGTTTTTGTCTTGGGCCAGAGTGCTCTGGCTCTTGAGGTTGCTTGCCTAGCTTCGCAGGTTTGCACGTTTGACGTATATTGGAAAAGCAGCACACAACCGCGCAGGTGACATGTGAGGATGGGGTGCTGATGAAGTTACCTTCGGTGCTGACCAGTTGTATGTGCGTGTGTGTCTGCACATATTCATGTTGCCATAGTCAGGTTCCGACAACTCACAACCAAAGCAGTAAGATCCACGATCACTGCAAACACCACTACAAGCGCCTACATAGGTCCTTGGAATAAGGATTCCCTACTATATGGGGTCTGATGTGGGTTCTCGGATCAGGAACTTGGTAGGAAGGCAAACGAACAAGACTACATGTGCAGTAGCCCCTGGTAGGCTTTTACACAGCCTCATGAACCTCCCTGTGCCTCTGAATCTGGATGCTGAAATGAAACCCTTGCCGAATTCTCAGGGTTTCGGCTGTTGCTGCCTTTTGTATCAAGGACTGGCTATCGTCCAGGACCTGCGATGCTCGGAATTTAGAGCATGGAGCTTTGGCATTGAGGCTTAGGCGTGGTTACACTTGTGGGCAGTCGGCTTTGTGTTTGTTTGTGTGTGTGTGTGCGTGTGTGTCCGTGTGTCTGTGCGTCTGTGCGTCTGTGGGTCTGTGCGTCTGTGCGTCTGTGTGTCTGTGTTCGTGCTTGCGTTTGCTTTTGTTCTGTTTGTTGCTTGCGTGTATGTGGTTGTGTCTGTCTGTGCCTGTGTATATCAGGGTGCAAAGCTTTCCTCAGTTTAGGCTACAAGGGCCTCGGTCTGCCATCAACACTCCGTAGGTTGGTGACCGACATTGACACTGGTGTAACACCTGCGTCGACCCTGAACCCTCAAACAGCAACACTCCGTAAATCGCAAAACCGTGGAAAAGTCACGTCGGTGCTGGTGCTGGCGGTCGGCCAGTGCACGGCTTGAGGTTGAATGGTCAAGATTGAAGATCTTCGAAGGTTTCGGCATAAGTTTTCCGGTTTAAGGTTTCGCTGTTGGATATACATCTTGAGGTATCAGTATGCAGAACCTCCCTCAGAAGGCCGTCGAACCCGAGTAGTAGGTTTACGTGTTAGGGCTGTCTGACCGTTGCAGGTTCTGCTTGTTCTTGGAGAATAGCGCGTAGGGCTTGTGGGGCTCAGGGCTTAGGGTTTAGGCAAAGCATTTTTGGTTTAGGGATTAGGGTTTATGCACTTCCGGGACAGTCCAGGGTTCGGTAGATTGCAGGAAGCCCAAACCCTGAGCTTAGCCTTAAACCCTAAACCCTCCTAGCCCCTGAATCCAAATCTTGTGGCGTGAAACAAGAAGCCCTTCAAAAAGGAATTGTCGAAACAAAGCTTGTGCGGGCTATTTAGATGAGCATTATGGCCTCTGTCTGGGCCCGTATGCTATCAGTTGATAGAGTTTGTCGTACCTTTTCTTGAGATGTCCTCATACGCGGATCCTCCTTATCTGAGATCTATATCTCTATGTTATGAAGGTCCCCAATTTCTGAAACTCCCCAACCCCTAACCATTAACCCCAAAGAAGCAAGATTGAAAACTTTCTGACAAATCCTTCATCAGGTGTTGGGGGGCTGGAGTTTAACATGTAAGGTTTGGCGGCGGTGGTTTCCGGTTTAGGGTTTAAGGCGCAGGTTCACGTTCACCGTTTAAACCAGCCCGCCTGCTTGACGACAGTTGCGGCAATCTGGGCGAAGACCTCAATAAACTGGGTGAGCATGTCGCTCAGGCGATTCAGCGTGCTCCTTGGCATGCAGCACGTGGCGCAGCGGAGCTTGCAAGACGAAGACGCTGATCAGGATGATGACCGTGGTGGTGATGGTGATGCTGATGATGATGATGATGAAGCCCCTTGGACCGAGCGCAGAGTGCCCGGTGTTCTGTCTTCTGGGGGTCGTTCTGGGTTCTTGGTGTGTGTGTGTGTGTGTTGGTTCCTTTTACTTCGGTGAAACCGCGAATGAGCCATGGTTCGCAAGGCCAGCGACTGGGGCCTTATGATCGCACACCAGCTGCAGTGGCCGAAACATCTCAGGCTACTTCTGTGGGCACTAACATGCCTTTTCGGGGGGGGCCTCCGGTGCCTTTCCCCAGGATTGACCCCTTCAGCGCAGAATATGACAAGGCCGTCCGCGAAGATGCGAGAGCCAGAAGATGGGAGGAGCAACGACAACCCGATGAGACGAGCCCTGCCTGGACTTACCTTTGGTTAGTAGGGAATGGAAGAATGGTAGTAATAGTAGCTGTAATTGTACCCCATTCCTCCATTCCCTACTAACCAAAGGTAAGTGGACAGTGCTGAACTGCTGGGTCCCACGGCATCCGAAGCCTCACCTGGAGACGTCACTCGTCCTCATGAGCAGCTGGAGGCAGCCAAACGCCACCTTGTTACGGTGTACCGCGAGCAACTCTGCGACGAAGGACGCAATGCCAGATCATTGGGAGGAAGTGTGGGGGCCATGCGGCGCAAACTTCGAGATGCGAACTGGATGGCGGTGCAACGAGAGGCCAGACGTTGGCTTGCGGGAAGCAAGCTATTCGACTGGACCACCTACGAGTTCGAGCAGACCCACGAGCAACGCCCGAGACGAGGTGCTCCACGAGATCGACAAGAGTAGCTTGTGGTCGGGACGTCCTTGCTACAGGCCGCGAGCATTCAGAGCTCACTCTTTTCAGCTTCCTACCCCAATCACTCGACCAAACACCAGCCGATCTCGCAGGCGCGCTTGGCGTCTGCCTGCTACAGGCAAGTCAGCATCTTCTCACCTCACCCGGGTTAGAAGCACCTCCTCATCCCTAAGGTTCCTCACACCCGGTCCTTAAGCACCCCCCACACCAGGAGGCTTACCTCTGCAATCCATCAAGCTCGGTGCCACCCCGGTCCCAAATCCGGGGCCTACCTTCAGGCTTCGATTATGGTTCTTCTTAGCCATAGGGTAGGTGGGGCGAGGGTTGGTTCTTGGGCCGTGAAAGAATCTGAACCTGCTTCGGCAGGCAAGCAACACGGCACAGCGCCGATGGGACATCCGGCTCCCCGCATAAACCCAAAACCCCTACTCCTACCCCGAAACCCCTGAATTCCTAAACCGTTAAACCACTAAAGCCCCAAACCTCTAAACGGCTAAACCTCTAAACCCTCAACCCCTAAGCCAACATAACCCCCTCTCCTGAGTGCAAACAATGAACCCAGGAAGGCAGGAATGAGAAGGAACGCAGAATGAATGAATGAAGGAACGAACGAATGCTAGAACGAATGAATGGATGAAGGAATGAGCAAGTGACTGAATGTATACATAAATGAACAAAGGAAGGAGGCAAGCAAGGAAGGAGAAAAAATATCAACCATGCTCAAGATGAGGCTCATGATGGTGCTGATGACGAGAATGACGATGGCAAGGGTACTGACTGCCTACCTTCGCCCGTGTACTGACGCTGTAACACCCGCCAACGCCAAAAGCCCAAAACCTGAGGACTCCCTTGTATTCACACACTCGACACAATTCAAATTTTCTGTTTTGTGGGATCCCAGACCCCGAAAGGAGCACACAGCCAACGCACAAAACCCCATCACCAAACAGACTTTGAGAGCTTCCGAAAATGGGGGACCCTAATGTAGTACCCTAAATAGGATCCTTATTATAAGGACCCAGAAAAAGGTACCCCCTCTTTTCGGAAACTCACACTTTGAAGCCCTTTGTGTAGGCCGCAAAAGACAGGCCCAGGCTCAATGGAGGGACAATCTCGATGAGCTTGAAGCCAAAGCACCTGACTTACCGTTGGTAGGGAATGGAGGAATGGGGTACAATTATAACTACTATTACAACCATTCTTCCATTCCCTGCTAACCAACGGTAAGCTGAGTTCTTGTGCAGGAACCGACGCTGCATTGCAGAATAGCGGTATACGCATACCCAAGATTGACGCACCATGCTATGGGGCTTGGGGTTTGGAGTTCAGGGCTAAGTCGAGAAGGCCGAGACAATCTCGGTTTGGAACCGTCATAAACGGATGACTTCCCTGAAGCTCCTGTACACCTGAGAAAAAAGCCTCACCTACTGTATAAAGATCGTAACATAAACCCCGGCACTTGATCAGCTCAAGCGGATCATCGAAGTTGGTGCAGGAAGCCATCCTCGGCCAGGCAACTTAATGTAGGTGGCAGTGCCTTATAGTTTTTCTCCGTGGGTTACTGGAGGGCCTTCATATTTAGGACAGGGTTACGAGCTGTACTATTGTATCAGTAGCCTTCTCATGACCCTTCGGTAGAATTCTTTGAGAGGGGTGCCTGCGGCCACAGAGACAGTCTGCTGAAATCGCCGTCGTCGTAAGAAGTGCAGCGTTTAGGGTTTAGGGTGCGTCAACTTGGGATGCGTTGCGACTTAGGTTTGGGGTGTAGGGAGTGTTTAGCACTCGGAGGTTAGGGTTTTGGGTGCAAGGCATCCAAGCATCTCTTTGCCCATGTTGATCATCGCCTTCCAAGCGGTAAGAGTTCCACAGGGAAGGCAGTCGCAAAACCTGCAAGCCTGAAACCGCACACTCTGAATTCCCAAGCCTGAATCCCCTCTAACTCTAAGCCTCAACCTCAAACCCTTTTCCCTGAAGCGTCCAACGTGTAATCCAAAAAACTTTCGATTGGCAAGTCGTCAGGCAGGTGTTTTTATAGGAAACTCCAGAAAGTTGGAATATGGTTTCATGCCACTTTAGGAGCATACCCCCGAGCCTTCACGGGTTGGATGCCGAAGCCAACCACCGTTTTCAATGGCTCAGGCCAATTGAGGTCCTGTCCCGGCAGTTTTTGAAAGGGATCTGGGTGATTTAGGGCTGTCAGGGTTTGCAGGGTTTACTTCAGGTGATTATTCGGACTCATATCTGCATTTTGAGTTGGAGGTCTGATCTGATTGAGAGCGTAATTTCGCAGTTGGTTGTGATGCTGTCCCTGATTGACAAACCCCTTCCTTTCCTTCAGCATGGGTCGACAATACGGGGATAGCTGCTTTACAAACGTTCGGAGTTTCGGCGGTTCGACCTACATGGATACGACGGTTGTAAAGTCCCACCGGCCTAAAACCTCAAGCCACAAACCTTCACCTTCTTTGGCACCTGGCCCCTTGACCCTGTTCAGGGATGAGGTCCGCCGTGCCGAAATTGAAGTCGAAGAGGGTGCAGGTCTGGCCCATGAGCCTCACCTCTGCAATGGAGCAACGTGAGACACCCAGTGTACGGATCTATGACATGATATGAGACGAGGACGACGACGTCGTCAACTGCTCCGACCAAAACTCCTACTAAGTCCTACTACCCCTCATACTTCTACTAGTTCTAGTATCTTCTATTCGCCTCCTCCTGTAATTACAACGACTGCACGGCTGGGAGCCGGGCCCAACACCTCTGCCGACCCCAGTCGACGTCAATGCCCTGGGAGCCCACCGACATCGAAGGCCACCTAAGGTGGGGCTCAGGGCTTAAGGCACTATCCCGTAACAGTCCTTGGCAAGGAGTCAATAACAGTATATACCCTTTTCCTTTATTCAGTCAGGAGACCTGTTCTCGTCGCAGCCGGCATTCCAATCGGTAAAGCCACCTAGAGCTTGGGAGCTTAGGGCTCTAGGGAGGAAAGGCCTCCGCTCAGGGCCTACTGTGGGGTATGGCGTAGATGTTGCGTGCCCCTGCGCAGTTGAATGTGCCAATGAGCCGGTGAAGTCATGGAGCTGTGGGCCTTGGCTGAGGCTTTGTTTACTTGTGAGGCCGGGCTACGGATGGGAGGCGAGTCAGCCGCCGGCACACTCAGGAACGGACAGGGAGCAGGAGGCAGGAACAGCTGGGGGCAGAGTCGGTCGGGAACATGGGCAGGAAACCCTAAAGCCTAAAGCCTACGTAAACCCTAAACCCTCTACACCCTCAACCCGAAACCGTGACTCTTCTCCGTTCTGTTCCGGACTGGGCTGCTATGCATTCTGGACTTGGCCGCTGTGTGTTCCGGACTCAGCCCTTCCCGACTCAAAGGCCAAGTCTCCGACTCGACTTAGGTTCGCCGGGCTGCCACTCAAGCGGCTCAGATTTGAAGGTTTTAGGCTCTACAGCTGCCATGGCTTTGGCTGCATGTGACCACTTGGGATGTGCGCTGAAGCATTATTGCCTGAGGCCTCAGGTTGCGGTGGAGAGCCTAAGAAAACTCCGTTTGAAGGCCTTCGTATGTAATGTGGGTGCCGAAATCGGTTACTTAAAAAAACACAGAGAAATTCACGAAAATTCCTGGCAGTAGAGGAATCGGAGGCAGAGCGGCGGATGAGGATGTCCACTGCCATCTCCACCGTATCGATGACTGTATTGGCTACGAAGGACACCTACACGAAGGCCCCAGGACAGGGCACGGGCCTTTACATTAGGGACTTGTGGGGGCTTCGGGGTTTCGGTCGAGGCCACAGCGCGAAACTCCAAGAATCCACAGCTCCAAGCCCTTGAATTTGTGAAGCCGATGATACATCGATAAAGCAGTCGAACAAAAACTCCAAATCCCTGGGCCTTAAGCCCAAAACTCCAAGCACTTTCCCTCGAAAAGCTTCATAAAGCCAAGCATGTGGCGTTCCTTGTCGTCTAAAGAACCACGCGCAAACCTGATCAAACCGTACACTCGCCCATTCCACGCTCCTGCTGTGAAGGAATTTTGTAAGAATCCTTACCAAGAATCCTACAAAACCTTATGATGCTTGATACATAACACGCACACAAGGTGGTTAAACGGACTGACTAAACTATGAAATAGGAAGCGATGTATACCCCGAGCGCCTGGTCCTCCGCGGCCTCGTAGGCGTCGCCTAAGGCATCTCCGACCAAGCCGGTGCCTTCTGCTCTCCAGGACTTAAAGGTTTTTTGGGGTTTGTCCAAGAGGCTTTGGGAACCACACTTTGGGTTTGGCTTGAACTTTAAGGACTTTAAGGTTTAAGCTTTGGGTGTTAAGGTTTAGGTTTGACAAGGCCAGCTCAAGGACCGTAGGTTCTGTCCTGCTGCTCTGTCCTGGACGTCGTTGTCTCGGTTTGCAAATGCTCTGTTCTCTTTGGTGAAGTGTCGTTAGACTCTGAAACTCCAAACTGCAGGCTCGGGCAGCGTGATCTGGATCGCGCGTGTAAGGCACAAGGCTTCGGGTTTAGAGTTCAGGAATGACGTTCAACACACACAAAGAAAGAAGCCTTCAACTCTATACCGCACAAGGGGTGTTTCAAGCATGTCGGAGTACCGTTTTGGGGTTCCACATGACAGAAGTGCAACACCAAGAATCTGCACCGACAGCCAGAGCCTTCAAATATTCTTTCAACGTCTTCTAAAAGCCTGACTGTGCTCGATTGAACCGCTGCTCTTGACGAGGCCAAGGTTTGGTAGTCCGGATCGGAAGGCACGCCTAGGGCTCACGGTTTAGGATTCTAAGCGGCACACGGCTTATGGGGCTCCTGGGCTTCTTGGCTCATAATTTCTAAGGCTTACAAAGCTGACAGAGCGTGAAAGACTGAAACCTTACATATTCGCGCGCAAAGAAAGCCTAAAGCAGCCTAGGGGCCGTCGGTGATAACATCTGTACCATCCTCAACGACGTCCACTACGTCGTCAATGATGGGAACTCCCTTTATGGAGGGGGGTGCAAAGGGTCGATTTCTACGTTCAGGGCTGCTTCAGTTGAGTCAGGGTCTGGTGCCTTGGGCTTTTGGGTGTCAGTGGGAGGTAGGGTGTAAGGCACGAGGTGTGATGCTTCCAAGTTTCATAGTGCGGATTTCTGTGCAGGAATGCGAATCTGAAATCGAAACCCCAAGCCCTCAGTGCTTCACACAGGCTCTAATCCCAAGAGTCTGACCTCAACGAGCCCTGTAAAATCCTTTCACGATGCCGAAGACCACCTCCCAGAGCGCAGATGCTGTTCCCTTAAGTGATCGTCCGACATGGTTTGACCGCACCTTGGAGGACACTGACGAATCCAGGTGTTGGGCGGTAGCGTTGGTCCTTCGAAGCGTTCTTCGGCTTAGTCACAGGGCTTTTTGACTTCATATGGGTTGACGATACCCTGAGCCCTGCACCCTCAACCCCTAAACCCTAAACTCCGCTGCGGGGTCCCTGTTTCTACCAGGATATCGGCCAAGCTCCCGACAAGAAGGGACACCCGAAGAATCCTAAACCCCACACCCTGAAGCCGCCACCATAAACCCCAAAGCCCGAAGAATCCCTAACATCCCCAGCTCCAAAATCCGTCTCTCCCCCACCACGAGTAGGCCTTTGGGACGCCTGCTTCTACTGTATCCCGAGCTCCAAAATCCGTCTCTCCCCCAACGCCCACGAGAGGGCCTTTGGGACGCCTTCGCCCGGCGCTGCAGCAGCCGGGCCTTGTCCGCGCGGCTCCGGCTCGCCTCGTCCTCGCGGGAGTAGAGGCAGAAACACAACAGTATTCATGTAGTGTGTTGCAAGTATACAAACTGAAAATATGGCAGAAAATCAAGCATGATGTTGGCGCAAAATTTGGTAATTAGTATAGCAGATGTGACGTACTTTTTGGTAAAGCGTGTTTCAGGGTTTGCAGCTCTTATGGCAACCGCGCATGGATTCTCCTTCTCCGGAACTTTCACAAGACCGGACACGTGTGTTTCAAAACCTTGGGAAGGGAAACATAATATGGAACCCGAACTAAGGGATCCACGTGAGAAGCATCCAACTCCATGTGCTCTACGTTCAGACAAGGGTTGAGGTATTTATAACCTTCTGGGGTTTCCAATCCAAGGTCAGGGGCTTGGATGAGGGGTTTAGAGTCGAAGGCTTGGGGACTAAGTGTGGGTTCCAGGTGGCTTCAAGACTTTGAGTTTAGGGCTTAACAGGGCTGAAGCAAACCTGTCCTCTTCTGGCTTCCGCGGTTCTTCCCCGACCCGCTTCTGCTGGTGCGAAGAAAACTCGCGCCTGTCCCTTTGGTGGTTGTGCTTGTGGAGGACCTTCCTAGGCCAGAAGTAAGCAAAACAGCCTGCACAGCCCTTTGCAAATCCTAGAACGCGCATCAGGTTCATAGGGCAAAGTCTCAGGGTTTTTTGGAAAGGGATACCTTATTTTGGAACCCTTATAATATGGTACTATAAATTAGGGTCCCCTGTTTTCGGAAACTCCCACAAAAGCGCTTGGGGAGCTAGGATCTGAAGGTCCAGGCCCTGGAGGTCCAGAGTTTAGATGAAGCTACTGGAGCATGATTTAGGAGTTTCCGAAAACAGGGGACCCCAATATAGTACCCTAAATAATAGGATCCTTATTATATGGGTTGGGCCTTGGAGGGTCTCTAGGGGACTTAGTAACTGGGTAGTTTAGGGACTTATTACCATAACCCCCCAATTAGGGTCCCTTTTAGGGTGCTTATAAGTCTACTTACTACCTACTTACTAAGTCCCCCGACCCTCCAAGTACTGGAGCATGATTTAGGACGCAGCGTCTTTTGCTCAAGACCGGAATCCGACTGAAGATTGACATGAACTGAGGCTAAGGGTTTTGGAATATCGCATTGGGGCATAGGGCTTCAGGTCTAAGTCTGTGGATAGAGGATTGGATAAGTTTAGGTCTCAAACCCTAAACCCCGAAACCCCAAAACCCGACATCCCAAACCTTAGACCCTGCACCTTGAACCGAAAGCCCTGAACCTTGAACAAACCCCAAGCCCCTAAACCCTGGACCTTAAAGGAGTCCATGAAAAAGAGCCCTTACAGGAACCCTACCCTAAACCCTAAACCCTAAACCCTAGAGGGCCCCTCGGCCGGGCTTCTTCAAGACCTCCGTGGCCTTTTGCGTGCCAGACGCCACCTCCCTGGCTTTCACTTCAGCCTCGGAAGCTCCAGCCTGAAGCTTCGGGAGCTCGCCCTCTCTGGCCTGAAATTATTACTATTAGTATTATTATTACTATTGTTATTATTACTACTAGTATTATTATTAGTATTGTTATTATGAAGTCTGCAGTAGGGGGGGGAGGGTATAGGAGGTTTCATCAAGGCTTCGACTTTAAAGCAACATGGCGAGTTAGGCGGGTTGTGGAAGAAGATTTCAAGATGGAGCCCTTAATCAGGGCAGGTTTGTGGCTCTGTTGTGGTATCATGATACAGGGACTATATGGTAGCAACCTGAGATTTAGCATCAGTTGGATCGGTCGATGCGGCAACCTCTAGATAAGTCCATCTTCCAAGTTTAGGTTTCGGCTGGACCATGTTTTCTCTATGCCTCCATAATACAAGTCATCCTCAAACCTTAATCTTCCAAGTTTGTGTTCTGCGGGGGCCATGACTGCTACTTCCCCGCAATCCAACCGAGACCAGACCAGACCAAAAACCAAATGTTGACAGGTTAGAAGTTGGAAGAATCTTGAGCTGCGTGCTGGAATGTAAAGGAGTACTTTTGCTAAGTGTGCAGCCCCCCATATTGGCGCTCTATCTCTCTTCCAAAGTTTCATACCATGCACTCCAGGGTTTAAGGCCTCGTGCTTATAGGAAACTCCAGAAAGTTGGAGTATGGTTTCATGGTAGGATACCCTAAAATTTACCATAGAAGGGTTAGGATAATCATATTCCAACTTTCTGGCTTTTACCTTAGACTTTAGGCTGCCTGAGGCCAGTCTCGGATGTCGGGCTTGGGTCTCAGTCCTGACATAGAGCTCTCCGTCTTGAATCACTCAAACCCGAACCCTCAAAACCCCCTCTTGGCAATGTGGTCAACCGGGAATCGGAACCTCAAGCTAGCACTGAACCAGACGAAGCCCGAAAGCACACACGTTCAAACCCCACGAAAACCGACGGCAATGCAAAAAAAGAACAAAACGCATGAACCAACTCCTGAAGTCAAGAATCCTGGCATGTTCAACCCGTGGTGCTCCCCAAGCAGACCCCCCCCACCTGGCCGGCGGTTTGACTGCGCTTCCATTCGTTCAAGCCGTGGATCTCGATCTGCTGGAGCTCTACGATCGTCTCCAACTGGGCCACCTAAGACGGTGCTTTAAAGGGGCTTATGAAGGTGTGAAGGCTTTCCAGGGTTTTAGGTTTTATGGTTTGGGGCTCTCTACGGGTTGCATGCCGGGGGAATTCTCGAACGTAGAAGTACCGATTTAATACGCCCCTACACCAGGGATAAAACTACCGCCGCGGGGTACAGTAGATATTGAGCTCTTCATCGTATTGGATCTCAGGAATCATGCCTAAGGGCTTCTTGGGGACTAGCCGGTTCCGATTGGGGTTTTGAGAGTCTGGGGTTTGTGGGTTGAAAGCTTACAGTAGAAGCCAGAAAGTTGGAATATCATTATCGTAACCCCTTTAAGGTAAATTATAGGGGATCCTACCATTAATCCATATTCCAACTTTCTGGAGTTCCCTTTAGGGCTTAGGTTTCACTTTCAGCTTGAGGGGCTCAAAGCCTACCAGGGACAAACCTTGCATAGCCTTGCCGACTCCCTGCAGCTGCATAGAACCCCATCTTCATCTCGATTCCCGAAGCAGCAGGACAAAAATATGAACTACATCCAGTACCTAATCGAAACCCTAAACCCTAAACCCTAAACCCACTGACGGGAGTTTGGGGTTTTTGGAAATGACTTTGAAGTGAAGGCTGGTGGCTGGGGCTGGGGCTTTTGGGGGCTGGTTTTGGTTTTGGGACTTGGGAGTTTCCGAAAATAGGGGACCCTAATACCATACACTAAATAGTAGGATCCTTATTATAATCACCCCCCCACAAAAGGTACCCCTAATTTTCGGAAACTCCCAATTAGGGCTGGGGGTGGCTGGGGCTGGGGGCTGGCGGTGTGTTGAAACGGAAGGGCTGGGGGCTCTGGGGACGTCTTCGTCTGGGAGTTGGGGGCTGGGAGCTGGGGCTCGGCTGGGCTGGGTTGAAGGGTTTGGGCTGGTTTTGATGGTGCAAGGAGAACAAAGACAAACAATTTCTCTTTATGCTTGTCTTGAGGGTTTAGGGTTTAGGGTTTATAGAAAAGGGCTTGGGTGCCAATAACGTTTTGAACGAATCGTCTTGACCGAAAGTTTTGACTGAAAGGCTTGAACGAAACGTTTTTGTTTTGAAACCATGATTTGGAATTGGTGGGCCGGGGCCGAACCTGGCTGCCAGGCCGGTGGTGGTTCGGAATCGGTGGGCCGGAGGGAGGTAACTGCAGAAACCCTGCAGCTTCAACAAACCTTACAAGCCCTCTCAAACCAGAAACTCTGGACGCTAACCATACCCTAAACCCTGAATTAAACCCCAAACCCAAACCGTACGAGCCCCTCTAGAAGCTAGAACCACTAGACATTTCAAGTCCGACTCTGCCAGCGTGGGACCCCAAACAGTGACTGCGATAAAGCCCCTTGACGACCTCGACAGGGCCACGACGATGACCACTGCACCAGAGACTCCAGAAGACCACCCGGAGAACACCAGGAAACTGCTGACTAACCCCCACCCGGAGACGACCGAGAGACAAATTTCTTCCCCCCATGTACTTGCCTGATTCACGTGACATACCGGTGGGTCTCAAAAATCGGACACCAGAGGCCAACGTGTTGAAATTTTATGTCGGATAAAGCATGCGCCACATCCCGGGGGCCGACCGGTGCGACAGTCACTTGACTCTGATTGCTAGAACCCTATAGCCTGTATGACAGTGGTCGGGGACAAAACCCACGCAACAAGGAGCTGACTTACACACTCTGAATGAACACTGTCCAACTCCTCCTGTTATACTACATTAACCCGCAACGGCCCAAAGAAGGCCTCTTCACCCTACACCATCAGACCCGAAGCAATAGCTCGAAAAACTCCAGCCTTCAGCATCAGAAACTCGAGGTTCGAGCCCAGTTGGCCCAAGCCGTGGCGGCCCGAGGCGTTGGTGCTATTGTCCTGGGGGACGTTTCGAAGATCTGGGTTTCGAGCCTCAGGTTCTTGGGCACTGGGGAGGGGGTCTCTTGTTGGGCGTGCCGAAGACGTTTAGGTCTCGCTTTGGATGTGCATCTCTTTGGTGTTTGGTGTTGGGGTGTGATGCAAAAGTTAACAGCGCTGTACAACAAGAGTTGGATACACGCTCGCAGCATGCAAGTTTTGGGGTAGGGACAGCGGTGTAGGATTTTAGCAAGTTTAGGCTTGGAAGCGTTCCAATCCAAGGCCTAGGTTGCTGGGGATTTAGGCTTGTGACTTGAGGGTAGTTTCGTGGAGCCTTTGAAAGCCTTGCAGCCTCCTTCGAGAACTGGTGGGTAGAGGAGAACTGTCGCATTGAGGTTTAAGGATCAGCGTGTCAGAATCTACGAGTTGCGTCTTCGGCGCACTTCCGGCTTTGCTTGCAACTCCCAAAGGGCTTAGGATTTATACTTGGAGGTTCATGGGTAGCTATAAGTAGGGTTATAAGTCCCCAATATGAGTTACAAGTATAGCTGCCCTACTTATAGCTTCCTTACTTCGTGTTTCTTGAGCTCGGGCCTGAGGCCCCTCGAGGGTTCAGGAGCCCAGGCCCTAAAGGCTCTAAGCCCAAGCCCACCGGAGCAGCCCTCGAGACCTGACGATATCTTAAGAATTCTTAGGGCTTATGTGCTTCCAGGATGCTGCTTGGGGCTTTGGGGAGACAATGAAACAGCAGCGCCGCACGCTGTGCCTATTCGGACAGCCTTTTGGGGTGTAGAGTTACCTGCAACCCTGTAGCATAGTTGACTTGTGGCGAAAAAGCGTCCAAGTCCGGCATCTGCATCGCCTCCTCGAGATCGTGCGCCTCAGAATGCAGGCGCAGGATGGGCGGGGCTTCCTGGGTTCTAGCTCAGGAACTTAAGCTCCGTTACCATAGCAGGCTGACAGGTATGCTTTCCTGGCTCCTTGATACGGCAGCTGAACGGAGAAAGCTTCTTGCAAGCTCATCCTCTCTACGTTGCGACCCCGTTTCGGATCCGAAATCATCATGTGGGAAAAGCCTGGCCCGCTTGAAAATTGTGGAAAGGCCCAACCCCTTAGTACAAAGAAACCTTCCAAGCTGAAACCCTAAGCCCCGAACCCTAGGGTTTAGAGGCCAATAGCGCTTAAGGTCCCACACCGCCCGGAAGGATGTGACGTTGCGAATAGTCCAAGACGCCAGATTCTTCAGGATGCTCTGCTCAATGGACGCATTGGTGCTGTTGCTTGCATTGCTGCCTCGGGTGTTGGTATTGAAGCTCAGGGGTTAAGGGCTTAAGACCCCTGCACACCCCCATCCGCCCGCAAACACGTACATTCAACACCCCCAAAACCCGAAATAAAGCAACACCGCGATGACCTCTGCGTTTGCAAAGCCCTAGTAAGCCCTTGTACAGACCCACAGGTTTCAAGCTTTGGCTTCGCAGGCTTCCGTCGTTGGAGATCAGAGTTGCCCTCGGTGAGGTCAAAGGGAACACTCCGGACGTCGGCCTTCCCGTGCTTTGGAGATTTTAGCAGACTCTTCATGGGCTTTCAAGGCTTTCGTGAAGATTAAAGCATTTTCCACTTTCGGCGGGCGGATTGTTAATTTTGGGTTTTAAGGTTGTTCAAGGCTTTGGGGGCTTTGTCGTGACCGCAGGGGTGTTGCAAGTTTAAGGGTCGTTCAGGGACGGGGGGAGGGGGGACTTATGACGCTTGGTTTCTCATTGCTGTGACACACTCGTACTAGCTCTACTACCTGCTGCCCTTTAGGCTGCTCGACTCGCACCAGCTCTAGGCTCCTTTACCATCGTTTGCTGCACTCTGCTCTTGCATTCTCGCTTGGGGTGGGGTGGGATGGGGTGGGGTGGCGGGATAATGACGGCATGTTTACATCACCTTCAGATGCGTGATTGTCTTTCGGCCCTTTTCTGCTAACCCTTAGCACGTAGCCAACATCCAAAACACAAAGTCCGGCCTGTATTGCCCCGGATACAACTCCCCCGACCCCATAATTCTCGAACCTTGAATACCTTTGTCCTAATCCCGAGCCTTTCGTGCATCACCATTCCTGCTCTCATCAGGTTCATACGCACTCAGCCCTGAACCCTTAAGTTCCTCTTTACTACTGCATAGAGGCATAGTACAAATCATGGTATATAATAGACTATTATATGCTCGCAGAAACTTTGATGTACATATAGATATAATGATACGAATACTAAGTAGAAGATTAAGAACAAGCAGCATGACAAACCAGCGTGACAAAGGTTTTCACTTGGAGGTGTTTGAACAGTGTGTTGCGAAACTGTCACGCCTGCCAGTGTTTTCTACACTTCGGACGTCAAAGTCCTGGTAAAAACGACACTTTCGACTCGTGCCTCGAAACACTTCCAACAGCAAATATGCAAGAATCTCCGGAAAAAAAACGCACATTTCCACAAAAAGGTCTGAAATTAAATTGCGCTGAAACCACGCAGTCGCGAGTGACGCCGTTTCCTTGTTTTTAGGTTATTGGAAGGGTGGGCTTTATAGACTGTAGGGCTTCCAAGGCTTTTTTGGCTGCAGGGGGGTTGGCCGGGGATGGGGCTTTAGGTTTCTGCGGCTTTGAGGGGTGTAAAGCCGCAGAGGGTTTCAGGCCTTTGGAGTTTGGGGACTTCAATCAAGGTTTAAGTTTTGGGTACTGCACTGTTGTCGGGGTCTGGTGTGTTTTGGAGATTGAGCTTGGGGTTGCAGGGCTTGGGGTATTAGCAGCTTTAGCATTGATGGGCATCCACAGCTGTGGGTAGGCTCCCTACCTCTGGCAGGCTCCTTCTTCTGCGTGACCGCGCTAAACAAAAGACCCGTATCTGTGATGCATAAAGTTTATGAGGAAGCCCTCAACCCCAAACCAAACTCTGGAGCTTGAAGCTCACTGACCCGAAACCCGAAACTAAAAACCCCACGCAAACCAAAATAAGACTCAAAACACAAAACTTTGTACATCGACGGCTCCGAAGCCTTTACAGCTAGCAACGAAGGCGCGGTGGCTGGGCAGCCGGGTCCTCTCGAAAGTCGGGGGCAGCTTGGTGAGGAATGGATTGAAAATTCTTGAAGTTCTACTTTTTTAAATCTACAATGGGTATGGTCTGATTTGCTCGGAGTTTGGGAATAGGGAAGCTTCTGTCGGATGGATTTTTGAACGGATCTCGGAAACAAGAGTCTTATCCGCGGCTTTCTCGGGATCAGGGTCTGTGGGGTGGATTATGTAGGGAGTCCCCCGTGTCAGGTTTAGCACGTAGGCTTGGGAATCAAGGATTTACGGCTTCAGGATAAACGTTCGGGATTGACGGTCATTGCTTGAATGCTCAAAGCTTCTGCAACGAGCAATTTTGGGTTTGGGGCTTTAGGGGTTTCGGGGTGACGGTTTGAAAGGCTTTACTTGCAGTTGAGGGTATCTTGTGTACAAGGCTAGCCCAGTATCTCATCCCACATGATGCTGAAGTGCTGCGTAGTATGTATGACGTGTGATTCCACGTGCACTCGGAACAGATACTAAATCATACCTACTACAAAACCCTGCGCAAAAAGGAACGCACACCTTGACACACAAAAAACTGCAAAGGCCCCGTAAACCGACAATACAACGGCCCTGCTCGGAAGGATAGGGTTTCGGGGTATAATACACTAACATTAGGTTCAGAACCCTAGACATTAATCAATGTTTTTGTTGTTCATACCCACTCATTCATTTCATCATCGTCCTCCTTGTCCGCGGCACGCCTCACAGCCCCCAGAGGTGCATAAGGACGCCCACGCGAGAGGGTTGGCACCTCGGAGTTTTCAGGTTAGGTTAGGGATCTATAACGCCTCTGGGTTTGGGGTTTCAATATGAAGTCCAGGAGTTCCAAGCTCTAGCCTGAGGGCTGGAAGGTCTGGGGTTTAGGATGTGAGGTTTCGCTGACGTCATGCCATAGGGTTGCATGTTGAACTTCGAACTTGAAGGTTGGGATTCCGATCAACAACCTGTAAATCTGACCCCAAAAAGGCCCAAAAGCCAAACATGGTTTTTCGACCAAAGCATAGATCCAGAACCTAATACCTCCAAGGTTGCATGATCTTGAATTGCTCGGGCTCAATGAGCTCTGCTGACTCTTTTTGAGCTTTGGTCCGGTCAGACCGGACCTCATGATCATTTCGTTTTTTCAATTCCTGCGCCTACGTATTCATAAACATTCTGTGCAAAGCCCAATGTCTCAAAGGCTCTTTCCGAGTGAGACAACAACGTATGTGGGCCTCCCCAGACCCGAAAACCAAAAAATCTCACAGACCAACATATGCACGTGTTCGTGTACGCACACACCCAAGAACAAATGCAAAATGCATGCGCATGAAGATGTTAACAACATGAGATGCATGGATATATCAAACGCACACCCACACATACATGTATGTTTCCATATATTTATTTATGTATACACAAACACAAACACAAACATGATACCTCGTTTGCACCAAGATGCCGAGGATCAGGGTCAAAGACCCAATGGTTCCCGTGAAGCTTGACCACCTGCAAAGGAGGGGGCCGACATTCTGTATTTCATGGCTTCTGGGTTTCTGCTTTAAGGCTTCGGTTTTAAAGTTTTGCCGTATGGGGTTGGCTTCGGAAGGAGGCTAGGCTGCCAACAGCTGAAGGCCATGGAACCCCACCGAACTCGAACAATCGCTTCTTCGTCTCCAACCTCATCGAAGTGGCACGGTAATAAGAAGGAAGGTCAGGCGAACCCACGCTCAAAGCTTGCTTTGAGCCGAGGTTGCTACAAGATTCGGCCTTGTCGGAAGTGATCCATGAAAATCAAAGCTGGGATCAAACGATGAAATGAAACTCTTTAGGTTCATTCCTACACTCACACATTTTTCCTCGGACCAACGGCACTAGTCGG